ATGGGAACAAAAGAAGTCTTGGTCTGTTTCCCCATTAAAAGCCTGAATCTGAAAAGTGGGGATAACAACAGTACCTACCTCCCTGGGATGGTCTGAGGATTAAGAGATGATGCCAGTCAAGAGCCCAGTTCAGTGCCTGGCACAGAAGACGTGGGACTATTTAATGGCTGGCCCCGCCCGGGAGTCGCCCCAATATCTCGCCTTCAGAGTCCCTGTTCTCTAGGGACACCCTAGCGCGACCCCCGCCCCCACTACCTCCTCACTGCTGCCTCCTACGGCCCCGGGGCCGCGGGAGGGGGCGGGGAGTTCCGGTCGGTGGGAGCAACCGCCCCGGAACTGGCTATGGGCGGGCCCCTTGCAGTTGACGCGGGGGTGGGGAGTCAGCGAGGGCGAGCCTACTGGGATTTGCAGGAAGTGGGGAGAAGGTGGGCCTCGAGCAAGCCCACTAGGGGTGGGGTGCGGGTGGTGGGCCTCAGGCGAGCCCCAGGGCACAGCCCGGGGAGGGGGGCGGAGCTTGGCGGCTGAGATCTCGGCGCTGCAGTTAGCCCCGCCGAGCGCCAGAAGCTGCGGGTAGGAGGGGCGGAGAGAAAGGATGGGGGCACAGAACCGGAAGAAACGAAGGGCTCCTCCGCTTCAGCTTGTCCTAATTTGGTGCCCAACCTGAGGCTGGGCTGTACCATTGCATATCTAGGGGGAGGCTGTGGCAAAGGCGACAAGAAGGCCGAAGGCACAAGCGAGAGCTGCACGCATACCTGGAGAATCTTCAGTAGTTACCCGAGTGCAAGAGTTTAAAAGTACCGAGAGAGCCCTAGCTGGAAAACTTCCGGGAGGCCCAAGCGTTCTAGGCGCTCCCTACCCCGCTCAGAGCATGGATGGTACCGTCCGGAAGTCCGGGCGGAGACCTCGGCTGCGCTTCTCGCGAAAGGGCAGGCATCGCGGGGCTGGCTACTTCCGCACTTCCGCTTTCCGGCCCATCCAGCGCCCGCGATGGTGAGAGCCGGGTCCCCAGTTAGGGACCCCCCGCTGTTCAGCCTCAGGGCTGTGGGTCGGTGGGAGATGTGGCTTTGCCGTGGGGGCCCAGGGCCGATGGATGCCGGGGGGTGTGGGGACAGGATGAGGGTGGAAGAAAGAGGGCGGGGCGGGGGCCTGAGGTGAGGAAGGGGTGAGTGGGAGTACTCGCTGGTATGGAGCCGGCCTTGCTGCTTCATCATCAGCCTTCGAAGCAGGTAGGGACTTTTCCTGAGCTCCGGAGGAAGCCGGAAGTGGGGCCACCTAGGGCTTGTTGGAGCGTCTTGAGGGTACGTAGTCGGCCTCTTAGCCCGTCGTAGGGCCGCTGAGGCATGTAGCAAGGCCACCTGCCTATCCACAATGGAGCATCACTAAACACGCCCTTTGTCCTCTTATGCCTTCGTGACCCTACAGTTGCTTAAGGCAGGCGGCCACACTTCTTCTGGAGGTACCAAGAGTGGAATAACCCCTGTTGGTACCTCCAGCCCAGCTTCCACCCCACTGGAGGATCTCTCGTGTTGCTTCCACTCAGGCCCTTCCTAGTCAGAACCGAACTGTGTCAGCCTTAGTGTATGCTAGCTGTCATACTGTTCATTCCTTCCTTCCTGGAAGTCCTCCCTTTTCATACTTATGGGCATTCCTGGGATTTGTGACTTCGGATCACCACCTCCCTCTTTGCCACACCCTCCCTGGTGATACTGATTGTCTCCTGGCTTCGAAGACCTTTGCATTCTGTTGACTCCTAATCTGGCTTCCCAACTCTCTTTCAGGGTGATGTTTTGAAGCGATATTAAAATTAGATCTCTAGTTCAAAACTCATCTTCCATTCTAAACTTGTTCTTCCCCCTGGGTTCCCTATCCTGGCAGACTTTGTGACCTATATCTCAGCTAGAAATCTGGAATTTTTTTTTTCTAATGGAGCATAGACCTCTTGATTTTTAAAAATTTAAGTTTATTGAGGTAGTGAAACTACATCTGTTTTATTCATGAAGGGACAGGTGTCATGGAGCCAGTCACCCTTTTTAGGTTTACTGTCTATAAGTGTTGACAGAACATTGCTGGATATGGTGGCATGTGCCTGTAGTACCAGCTATCAGGAGGCTGAGGCAGGAGGATCGTTTGAGCCTAGAAGTTTGAGGCTGTAGTACACCGTGATCACTCCTGTGAATTACTACTGCACTTCATCCTGAGCAATATAGAAAGACCCTGTGTCTTAAAAAAAAAAAAAAGCCAAGCTTTTTTTTTTAAACCATGACTACAACAAAAATATAGAACATTTCCATAACCCCAAAAAGTTCCCTCAAGCCTTTTTGTAATCAGTCCTCTCCTTGTTCCCACCTCCGACAACCACTGATTTTTCCCCCTATAGTTTTGACTTCTTCAGATTGTCATATAAATGGATTCTTTAGTATGTAGGCTTTTAAGTGTGGCTTCTTACCGTAATATATTTGCAAGTCATCTGTGTTGTGTGTATCAGTAGTTACTCTTTTGAATTGCTAAGTAGTATTTAATTGAATGGCTGGACCAGAGTTCGTTGGAAGTTGTTTTTCAATTAATTCCATTATCTTCTACATCTAATGTCAGTCCAACGCTTACGACACTCTTTGCTTGTGATACTCTTTGCTCCTTATAATGTCTGCTATATGTCTCACTTCCCTCTCCAGATCATTCTCCACAGAGCCACTATGCAGCTGCAGTCATGAACTTCCTCCTCAGAAAGCCCCAGTAGTTCCTTACCCCCTTAAGAGAAAAGCTAAACTTGGTAGCCTGGCATTCAAGATTCCCCATGATCTTACCCCAGCCTACCACTGCAGCCTCATTTAGTGAATCTAAAATGCTTCTCATATATAGAAACATTGTACTCATTACTACTATGGAACTCTTGATGTCCTTTTTTGTCGCTCTAACCTTAATTATTTCTTTCACTCATTTATTCTACAGGAAATGAGTAAACACTGTACGCATATGTTAGGTATTGAGCTAGGGTGCAGGCTATATAGCTATGAATAAAATAGACGTTTGTTGACCATGAAGTTTACAGTCTAATAAATGAGAAATCACTTTACAAAGGCATGAAGGAGGCCAGGTGCGGTGGCTCACGCCTGTAATCCCAGCACTTTGGAAGGCCGAGATGGGCCAATCACTTGAAGTCAGGAGTTTGAGACCAGCCTGGCCAACATAGTGAAACCCCATCTCTACTAAAATAAAAAATTAGCCAGGCATGGTCGTGCACCCCTGTATTCTCAGCTATTCTAGTGGCTGAGGCAGGTGAATCACTTGAACCTGGGAGGTGGAGGTTGCAGTGAGCCAAGATTGCACCACTGCACTCCAGTCTGGGCAACACAGTTAGATTGTCTTAAATAAATAAATAAATAAAGGCCGGTAGTAGTGGATCATGCCTGTAATCCCAGCACTCTGGGAGGCCGAGGCTGGCAGATCGCCTGAGGTCAGGAGTTCGAGACCAGCCTGACCAAGGTGGTGGAACCCTACCTCTACTAAAAATACAAAAATTAGCCGGGTGTGGTGGTGTGCACCTGTAATCCCAGCTACTTGGGAGGCTAAGGCAGGAGAATCACTTCAACCATGAGAGGTGGAGATTGCAGTGACCCATGGTTGCACCAGTGCACTTTAGCCTGTGCGACAGAAGCAAGACTCCACATCTCAAAAAAAAAAATCTAATATATATATATATATATAAAATAAAAGGCAATTAAAAAAAACAAAGATGTTTTATTGTAAATGGTAATAAATGCTTATGGGGGAAGTCAAGAAAGGCCCCTCTAAGAGGCCTTCCTTAATTAAGCTGAGATCTGAAGGATTAAGACTTAGGCAAAGAAAGAGGAGAAAAGCCTGCAAATAGATGGTCGAGTATGTGTAAAACCCTGAGGTGGCAAAGAACTTGGTTGATGTAAGGACTGACCAGTGCAGCTAGAAGCTAATCCCTCTGCTAAGAATGTCCTTACTCTGCTTTGTCTCATTATAAAATCATCCTAATCCCATTTCATCCTCAAATCAAAACCAATTTAATCTGCAATATAGATTACTTGTAAGTCTAAATAGTTCACATTTCATCTTCCTTTATATCATATTATTTTCTGTATATCTGCTATCCAGTTGACACCTGTCTGGGTAGCGATAGTGTTAATCATCTTTGAATTCCCAGTTAGCTCAGTGCCTGGCAAACAGTAGACCTTTATATTTGTTGGCCTCATATACAGATTGAAGACAATCATTTATTCACTGGTATGTCTCTAGATCACTTTCTCAGCTTCAGCACTATTGATACTTGAGACTGGATAATTCTTTGTAATGCATTGTCAGATGTTTATTGTCCACTCAGTGCCTGCAATACTTCTCCCCACGAAGTCATGATAGTTGAAAATATCTCAGCATTCTCCTGGTCTGACTCCAGGTTTTTTTTTTTGTTTTTTTTTTTTGAGATGGAGTTTCACTCTTGTTACCCAGGCTGGAGTGCAATGGCGTGATCTCGGCTCACCGCAACCTCCGCCTCCCGGGTTCAGGCAATTCTCCTGCCTCAGCCTCCTGAGTAGCTGGGATTACAGGCACGTGCCACCATGCCCAGCTAATTTTTTGTATTTTTAGTAGAGACGGAGTTTCACCATGTTGACCAGGATGGTCTCGATCTCTCGACCTCGTGATCCACCCGCCTCGGCCTCCCAAAGTGCTGGGATTACAAGCTTGAGCCACCACGCACGGCCTTGACTCCAGGTTTAAAAAAAAATAAAAACATAGAAAGAAAATGTCTCATCATTGCCAAATGGATGCTGGCAGGCAAAATAGTCTCCTGTTGAAAACCACCACTCTACACCTTGGAAGGCATCTCGAAGGCCTAGTCTATTCAGTTCACTGTGGTGTCTTAAGAGCGCCGCACCCTCAGTGCTACTTGGCTTTGTGGGAGCTGGCATAGGGGATCAGTGGGTTTGGTGTGACAGATTTTGATCTTCTCTGCCCTTTGTGTTATTTCCTATAGACTGCCACTCTCCGCCCCTATCTGAGTGCCGTGCGGGCCACGCTGCAGGCTGCCCTCTGCCTGGAGAACTTCTCCTCCCAGGTTGTGGAACGACACAACAAGCCGGAAGTGGAAGTCAGGTAGGGAAGGACAAATCAAGGTGGGGAAGAGGGGTGCAGCACGCACATGGCTGCTGTCTAGAGAGTGCCATGAATTTATGTCCTGGAGTTGTCGGGACAGCTGCAGTTGACATTTTGTCTTGGTGCTAGCTGAATAGTGATTCCTGATTTGGAGTTAAGAAAATAGGGTCAGCCGGGCATGTTGGCTCACGCCTGTAATCCCAGCACTTTGGGAGGCTGAGGCGGGCGGATCTCCTGAGGTCGGAGTTTGAGACCAGCCTGACCAACATGGAGAAACCTCATCTCTACTAAAAATACAAAATTAGCTGGGCATGGTGGTGCATGCCTGTAATCCCAGCTACTCGGGAGGCTGAGGCAGGAGAATCGCTTGAACCTGGGAGGCAGAGATTGCGGTGAGCCAAGATCGTGCCATTGCACTCCAGCCTGGGCAGTGAGAGCAAAACTCTGTCTCAAAAAAAGAAAAAGAAAATAGGGTCAGTGGGTTGGCAGGACACAACTCAGGGGAGAAGACAAGATTGCTTGACTCAAGGTATGACTTCTCAGAGTAGGGCTGTTGATGAAGTCTCTCCTGTGGCATTGTTGAAAATACTGGTAGTTTAAGAAATGGTCAGAGTATTTATTTGTCTGAGATGCCATCTCCATACTTTCCTAAAGTAAGGACCAGGGATATTTTTTTCCCTACCAACCTAGACCCTCTTACCCCCTAATCCAAATACTCCATATGTTGAATGATTTTCTTATCTAGTTTCCATTTCATAAATATCTTTTTCCCCCTTAGAATTCAATCTAGAGGCCAGGCACGGTGGCTAACACCTATAATCTGAGCACTTTAGGAGGCTAAAGTGGGCAGATCGCTTGAGTCCAGGAGTTCAAGACCAGCCTGGGCAATATGGCAAGACTCCATCTCTACCAAAAATATGTACAAAAATAGGTTTGGTGGTGCATGTCTGTAGTCCCAGCTTCTTGGGAGGCTGAGTCGGGAGGATCTCTTGAGCCTGGGAGGCAGAGGTTGCAGTGAGCCAACATTGTGACAGTGCACTCCAGCGTGGGTGAGACCTTATCTCAAAAAATAAGTAAATAAAATCCAATCTGGTACATACGTAACTGAGATAAACTGGGTTACCACATTAAGTGATAACATTTAATTTTGAATTTTAAAAATAACTGATAATTTTAAAAATAACTGTTAGGGTGTGCCCTGTTATATTTGTTTAATGTTCATGATTTCCAGTGGGCCTTTGAAAATGATACCAGTTTAGAGACACCACACCACAATTAATTACTATTACAAATCTCTACGTATTTGGAGACATTACCTTGGAACCTGAACTCATGGGGTCTCAGAGGCAAAAAAAAAACCGAAACAAAACAAAACAAAAAAAACATTTCTGGATTGATAATTAAAGGAAGCCAAACTGTGTTCAATTTTAGTCTCCCTACTTCTAAGACAGGTATTCTCTCTGCATTTCTAAATGGTATATTGGTTTGCCTGTACAGGTTGAGTATCCCTTATGCAAAATGCTTGGGACCGGAGGTATTTTGGATTATGGAATATTTGCAGATACTTAACCAGTTGAGCATTCCTAATCCCAAATCCAAAATCCTCCAGGTTGGAGTAAAGTGGTGTGATCTTGGCTCATTGCAGCTGCCGCCTCCTGAGTTCAAGCAACTCTTGTGCCCCAGCCTCCTGAGAAGCTGAGGTTATAGGGGTGTGCCACCACACCCGGCTAATTTTTATATTTTTAGTAGAGATGGGATTTCACCATGTTGGCCAGGCTGGTCTCGACCCCCTGACCTCAAGTGATCCACTTGCCTCAGCATCCCAAAGTGCTGGAATTACAGGGATGAGCTACTGTGCCCAGCCAGTTTCAGATTTTGGATTTCAGATTTGCAGATTGGGGATATTTAACTTGTAGTTACTAAAATCAGCTGTCTTTTTAAAGCTCCTACTATGTGCCAGGCACGCTATCAGACACTTGACCCTTTTTTGATCTCTCTCAGTCCTTGCCAATGAAATAGGAATCAGAGTCATTTTACAGATGAGAAAATTGAGATTCCAACAGGGTAACTTGCCCAGGAAAGTAACAGAGGAGGCTGGATTTCAAAACCTTTTTGCCCTGACTTCAGAGACTGTGCTCTTTCTGCTGAAGAACACACTGGTCCCCATCTTGGAGCACCCCTGCTTGTGAGTCTTCTATTCCTTGGACTCTATGGTGTCATAGTGATTCCAGGACTTGCTGTGGGGTCACTCCGACTGTTCTGTCCCTCTATAGTACAGAGTACTCTGTGACATTGTGTTTTCAGGAGTAGCAAAGAACTCCTGTTACAACCTGTGACGATCAGCAGGAATGAGAAGGAAAAGGTTCTGATTGAGGGCTCCATCAACTCTGTCCGGGTCAGCATTGCTGTGAAACAGGTAAGCTCACCATGGAGGAGACGCAACATAAGGAGCTCTCTTTCAATCCAGGGGTCCCCATCTGAGAAATCAGTGTGCCAGATTCAGATGGAGTCTCACTCTTGTCGCCTAGGCTGGAGTGCAGTGGCATGATCTCGGCTCACTGCAACTTCTGCCTCTCAGGTTCAAGCAATTCTCCTGCCTCAGCCTCCTGAGTAGCTGGGATTATAGGCACCCACCAACATGTCCATATAATTTTTGTATTTTTAGTAGAGATGGGGTTTCACCATGTTGGTCAGGATAGTCTCAATCTCCTGACTGCAGGAGCTCTGCCCACCTCAGCTTCCCAAAGTGCTGGGATTACAGGCATGAGCCACCGTGCCCAGCCAGTAGAGGGCAACTCTAAATTGTCAACAGGATAAAAACAAAACAGCATTATTAAATGCAGACTACATACTGTGTTCTACAGAAAGTTCTAACCCTGGGGCCTGCTTTCTTTGTTAGAATGGGAGATTAACAAGTGTTGGGAGGTGTTAAGGCATACTAGCAACCAGCTACAGAAGTCTTTCTTTAGAAAGGTTGAACGTTCAGGGCTGGGCACGGTGGCACGTGCCTGTAATCCCAGCTACCTGGGAGGTTGAGGCACGAGAATTGCTTGGACCTTGGAGGTGGAGGTTGCAGTGAGCTGAGATTGTGCCACTACACTCCAGCCTGGGCGACAGAGCGAGACTCCATCTCAAAATAAAAAAAGAGAAATGTTGAGAGCTCAGAAGGGAGAAACTTCAGAGATTGTTGGATGTTCAGTGTTACTAAAGCAGAGACCACCTAAGGTTGTCTCTGATAGCCCAGGTGGTGCTGCAACACACCCTGGGAAGTGTAACACTAGTGAAGTGAGAATGGGAAGGGCAGCTTGGCGTATAGCTGTAGATTCTGAAAGAAGCCATAAACGACTCTGCCAGAATTACCTCTCTGGAATGGGTCTTCATTAAGAGATGCCCCAAGAGAGACCCTTGTTTCATTTGGCAGCCAGGTCCCTCACTTCAGTGATCCTTCCGAGTACCAAACCTCACTGTCTCCTGGGAGCTTTGGAGAAATTGGAGTCAGAAGACCAGGCTACAGGGTGTTTTTGGCTTGGGTGTCGGCTTTAGAGAAACGTTTCTCCCTTGCATTTCCCAGGCTGATGAGATCGAGAAGATTTTATGCCACAAATTCATGCGCTTCATGATGATGCGAGCAGAAAACTTCTTCATCCTTCGAAGGAAGCCTGTGGAGGTGAGACCTTGTGACCCATGAATTTGTAATACCCAGGATCCTGCTACAGAATGGCATGGAATTGTTTCTAGAACCTGGATTGCTGCTCTTCCAGCTGTTTGGCACCACTGCCTGAACTGAGAGTTGGCCTTCATCTCAGCTGGAGTGGGAACCAAGAGGATCAGAAGCCTAGGAAAAGTTGGGTCTACCTCAGCCAAAGAAAAGGCAAAAAAGGGCCAGGCGCGGTGGTTCATGCCTGTAATCCCAACACTTTGGGAGGCCGAGGATGTTGGATCATGAGGTCAGGAGTTCAAGACCAGCCTGGCCAAGATGGTGCCATCCCACCTCAACTAAAAATACAAAAATAAGCCAGGTGTGATGCCGGGCACCTGTAATTCTAGCTACTCGGGAGGGTGAGGCAGGAGAATTGCTTCAACCCAGGAGTCGGAGGTTGCAGTGAGCCGAGATTATGCCACTACACTGCAGCCTGGGTGACAGTGCAGCCTAGGTGACAGAGTAATACTCCATCTTTAAAAAAGAAAAAAAAAAGAAAAGGTAAAAAATATACAATACATTGCTTATTCCCAGAGCCTACAGTCTAGCAGCAGAAACAGCACAGTGATTTTTTGTTGTCATTTGAGTTTTGCTCTTGTTGCCCAGGCTGGAGTACAATGATGTGATCTCGACTCACTGCAACCTCTGCCTCCCAGGTTCAAACCATTCTCCTGCCTCAGCCTCCTGAGTAGCTACCATGTGCTACCATGCCCTGTTAATTTTGTAATTTTAGTAGAGACTGGATTTCACCACGTTGGTCAGGCTGGTCTCGTGACCTCAGGTGATCCACCCATCTCGGCCTCCTAAAGTGAATCATAGTCTCTTAAAGCCACAGTTAACACTGGGTCAGTTGTTACCTGACTTTGTACTTGACCCTTCTCCACAGACTCCTTGCCAAGTCAACTTAAAGCATCCCCACAACTACCACACAGCAGGATGTGCCATCATCAGATACAGCAGGCATGTTGGCCAAGTTCTTCCTCATCCTGAGCCAAATTTTCTCTCCTGGTCCTAGATCTAACCTCTGTGGCCACCCAGAGTAAATAAAATTCCTCTTCCTCACCTGCCCTTCCAGCAGAAAAAATACCTTAAATCCCACTCATCTTCTACATCTCTTTTCTGGACTAAATGTTCCCTGTTGTTTGATTAGATTCTTCTGTAACAAGACTTCAAGTGCCTTGACTCATTCTGAATGCAGAGCTGTTTGTGCCACAGATAGTCTTCCAGAGATGTCTGATACACACAGAATTCTCAACTGGGTTGAGTTGCTTGGATCCAACCTAGACACCCTTCCCCAGAGCAGGTGGGCTGCTGACTGGAAGGGTGTGTAGCTTGGGAGAAGATCACAGCCAGCGAGAAATGTGGATGTGTGGAGAACATGACCAGCTCAGTTCCCCTGGGGTGCTAATTCTCTCCTGTTCCTTCCCTTCTTCCTCCCTGCTGTCTTCTTTCCTAGGGGTATGACATCAGCTTTCTGATCACCAACTTCCACACAGAGCAGATGTACAAACACAAGTTGGTGGACTTTGTGATCCACTTCATGGAGGAGATTGACAAGGAGATCAGTGAGATGAAGCTGTCAGTCAATGCCCGTGCCCGCATTGTGGCTGAGGAGTTCCTTAAGAATGTGAGTATGGGCTTTTCTGCTTTCCTTCCAGAGGCTGAAGGATCTGGAGGTAATGTTGAGAACTTAGCTTGGTGGGGAACGGGTGCTAGCAGTGTGTTTATATCTCCGGAGGCCTCTATAACCCCTAGAACACAGCAGGTTGCTCAAGTGCTTTAGAGCTAGAGGACCCCAGGTTCATCTCTGAGCGCTACAGACATTTTCTGTATTTTTGGGTGTTTAGGATGTCTCTTAGTCTCTCGTAGGAACTTGGACACTCATTTCTGCATCTCAGGATGTTCACAAAGTTCTTACTTCTATCTAGTTCAAACCCTAAGTGAGGCAAGTGAAGCCTGCATGTGAATTTTCCAGGAATATAGGACAGTTAGTCATGGTGTAATTCCACTTCTCAAATAGACTTCAGTACTTTCCTTCAGCATCTGTTTCTTAGGCTTAAAGTCAGATTCCTTCAACCTGTTTTCCATCACTTGCATGGCCTGAGTCCTCCAGATTCCTCTTACATTGTTTATGCCTTTCTAATAGAAAGCACTGTAGTCATCTGAAGAGGTGGAATAACTTACATTGGTAACTGATGACATAGTTCTTAGTTTAGATATTCAAGACACGCCTTCTTTTTTTTTTCTTCTTTTTCTAAACAATCTTTGGTTTGTTGACATGTTCCACCCAGAGTGGCTGTGATCTCTAGGCAGTAGACTTAGTGTATACTCTCACTAATGAGTGTACACCCAGTCCAGAAGGAGCTCAGATTGCTAAAAATGGAAATTATACCCGCTTCCCCTGGGATATAATTATACTGAGGGTGGCCAGCATACAAAGTAGCTGTGCTGTGTGCACATATCAGTGTGGTTGTTGAACTCCGTCAGCTGTGGAGGCAAGACAACCTGTGTGAATCCAGGTTCCACCGCCTACTCAGGCATGTCACTGAATTCTCAACTAAGCCTCAGTTTCCTCAGCTGTGAAATGAGGATTTGGTAGCTAATACGTATCTTTCAGAGTCGTTGAGCATTAAATGAAACCATATGTGTAAAATATAGCACCTGGTACATAGTAAGCTTTCCCTGTATTACAGTACCAAAATTTTATGTCCAGGGTACTAGGAGGCCTCTCGATTGAACTGGAAGGGGAAAATAGCTCTTGTTCCAATTGAATATTTGGCTCACTCATTCAACAATCATTTACTTATTTGTGATAATTACATCCCATAGAATTAGACACCTAAAAAAGCATGTTCACATGTCCCATTTATTACTCAAAACAATTTTTGAGTCAGCTATTATCACCATTTTAGAAATGAGTAAACTGGAACTCTGGAAGTAAAAGCACCTGTCCAAGGTCCCTCAGCCGGTAAGAGGAAGAACCAGAACGTGGAGCTGGGTTTTCTGACTCAGAGATCTAAGATAGTACCATAACCTGTGTCAGGGGTCACAAATTCAGGTGCATGTAAAGGTCGGGTGGCTGTGGAGTGGGCTGTGTGGAGTATGGAGAGGGCAGGGTGAGGAGCTGCTGAGCACACGCCTTATCTGCAGGGGCTGGCTCCCACACAGCTCCAGCCCATTGAGCCTCCAGATTTGGATTTGTATATGGCGTCTCCCATGTTTTCAAGGTTGGCAGCTAATTCATATAAACCCCACGTGGGCCATACAATACTCATCTTTGGACTAGTTTAAGGCATGGGCATTGGTTCACAACCTGTGGTCTCTAAAATGTCCAGGACTGTCTTAGGCAGCATGGGGGACCCTTGAGGGCAGAAAACATTTCAAGGGCTGTATCATCCAGAGCTTGACACAAAAGTACCAGAACCTGGATCCTTCTGCACTTGGCCCTCTGAGTCCCAAAGGCCCTTGCATGTGAGCCCCCATGCCTAAAGAAAGCAACTTCAGTTCACCAAGCAAGATGCTGGCAGGGTTTCTAGCAGCTTCCATGCCAGGGCACAGGGGAGCTGTGGAGAAGCTCTCATGGCTGTTATTTTTTGCTGCCTTATCTAGTGCTAGGCTTAGGGCGAGTGCCCATAGGTCACTTCTGAAAGCTGTCTGAATTAGAGCAAGACCACAAGGTGTCCCAGGACCCAACTCCGCCCCTCAGATCTGAGCACAATGGCAGCTCTCAGGTTCATGCATTTCCTTAAAGCAGGCCCACCAGGATGCAATAATAACCACCATGTTCTGCCTCTCGGTTCTCTTGACAGTTTTAAACCATCTGGCTGGATCTTGTGGCCTTCCCCCTCAGACTCCCCATGTCTCCATGAAGGCGTCCTGGAGTCACTCCCTAGAACAGCAGCGGCGGCAGCAGGGAGCTGGGTTCGGGTGGGCATTTGATATGGGAGGTGGGGGGTGTGCTTGCTAGCTGGGCAAGAAAGCAGCAGTGGACCTGCCCCAAGGCCACACGTGCCTGGCCAGGCTGGCTGCTGATGTTCAGTCCCCTGGGCCGGGACAGATTTTTTTTAATGTCTTGAGACTTAAACTCTGTGCTTAGAGGAGACTGTAACCTTTTTGTCTTTTTTTTTTTTTTTTTTTTTTTTAAACAAACAACTTCCACCTCCAGTAGCTGTGACTGGTCCCAGTGATTGTCCCTTATTGGTTGCTGTGGGTCTGGGCGGGCCTGGAGCCCAGAAGGCGACTATTTTTCCTCTCCTATGCCATCCCATGTGGGGAGGGAGGGAGGTTTCAGATTCCAGTTCCTCTCCCTTGCTCTTTTATTCCGAAGCCTCCTTGGGCCCAGTATAAGTGGTGGGAACCCTCTGCTAGCTTCCTGAGTTCTGCCTGAAGATGGCCACCCAGCATTGGTTGGGGACAAGGGCCAAATTGGTGACCACCAGTCATGCCTAGGACCTGGGGCCCAAAAGCCAGGCAACCTCTGGCTATAGGGGCCATTGGGTACCCTCCCAGTTGAGAGGGGCCCCTGTTTCGCCTTGTCTGTCAGTGCAGTGCCTGCCATAGGTGGCGAGGTGAGTCCTCCTCCAGAGCTTCCCAGCCGGGTCCTCCCCCTGCCTGCTCTGGCTCCTCTGCTCCCACGCTGGCTGTCCTTTTTCTAATTCTGGTGGATCCTCCCTCCCCTAATTAAAGTCTCTTTTTGCCCCTTTGGGGCTGCATGAGGTCTATTCTCTTGTGTGTTTGTGTGAAAGGAGCGGGAGGTGGGGCTGCTCTTCCCTGAGACCAGATGGCTGGTAATTGTGCCTAGAGCTCCCCACCGGGTACAGTCTCATGATTGGTCCTGTCATTATTCCTGCCAGGGGCCCAGTCCGGAGACCCCTTTCATTGCAGTCCAGGCACCATTCATTTTTGAAACTGTTCTGTCTGCCTATTCAGAGCTTTGGTGTTTTTCACATAATGATCTTACTTGGGCTAAAAAGTAACCACAGAGAAACAGTGCTCCCATTTGGTGGATAAGGAAACTGAGGTTCCAGACATGAGATGTAATAGCTTGCCTCAAATCTCAGCCAGTGAGCAAGAGTAAACTTTTGCCTGTGTTAAAACAGTAATCATCATCCACAAGTGGCTATATCAGTTTTAATTACTACAATTAAATAAAGTTTAAAATCTAGTTTCCCTGTCCCACTGGCAACTTAGCAGCTACCAGTGACTGTACCATCTACAACAGCATATGTGGACTTGCATATGGACATATAGCATATTCAACACATACGTAGACATTCCCATCATTGCAGAAAGTTACGTTGGATAGTGCTACCTAGTGCAGCCTTCAAGTAACATCCTGAAGTAAAAAAACAAACCCCTTCTGTTTGAGTCCTGATTCTTGCCAAATTTGGGCAAGTTTTTCTACTCCGTGTCTCACTTTCTTAGTCTATAAACTGGAGATAATGAATATGAACAGTCTGACATGGTCCCTGCCACACAGGCACTGACTGGATTGTAGTTGTTTGTTCTACCAGCCCAGTGGCTGGGCTGTTGAATAATTTGCAGTGTTCATGATGTTATTCTTGCCTTTAGACTTGGGAGGTCCAGGAAAAGAGCTAGGTGTGTAAAAGGTGCACTGAAGTGTTTCATATTTAATATTGGAAGTCTGGGGGCCAAAGGGGAAATATTTATAGGAGAGGGTGTCAGGGTAAGCTTCAAGAAGAGTTAACCTTTGAGCTGAGCTTTTTTCTTTTTTCTTTTTTTTTTTTTGAGATGGAGTCTTACTCAGTTGCCAGCCTGGAGTGCAGTGGTACGATCTCAGCTCACTGCAACCTCCACCTCCCAGGTTCAAGCGATTCCTCTCCCTGGGCCTCCTGAGAAGCTGGGATTACAGGCAGGTGCCACCACACCCAGCTAAGTTTATGTATTTTAGTAGAGATGTTTCACCATGCTGGCCAGGATGGTCTTGATCTCCTGACCTTGTGATCCACCCGCCTTGGCCTCCCAAAGTGCTGGGATTACAGGAGTGAGCCACCGCACCCAGCTGAGGTGAGCTTTCAAAAGGGATTCCTCCAGATGGCCAAAAGGATCTCTTGAAGGGGTGATGTTAAAGGCAGGGGGTGAGGGCAACTTGAATAGTTATTGTTCCCCTCCCTTTTTCTTCTTTTTTTTTTTTTTTTTTTTTCATTTTTGAGATAGGGTCTTGCACTGTCACCCAGGCTGGAATGCACTGGCACAGTCATGGCTCACTGCAGCCTCAGCTTCCCCAGGCTCAAGTGATTTTCTGACCTCAGCTTCCTGAGTAGCCGATACCACAGGCCTTTGCCACTACCATGCCCAGCTAATTTTTTTTTTAAGGTATCTCTGTTTCCTGGCCTGCCTTGGGTGATCCTCCTGCCTCAGCCTCCCAAAGTGCTATCATCCCCTTTATACCATTACCTCTGTGACCTACCCCTCCACCTTTCCAAATTAGGTGTTCCCCTCCAGGGCATATGGTCATCTGTGTTCTAGCTTTGTGGTGAAGGTTAAAGGTGCTCACAGTGAAACTGGGTGACTAATAGGGTCACTTAACAACCCTCACAGGAAAGCATTGCCTGCATGAGCCAGCCAAAACCCTCATTTGTCACATATCTATCTCCCAGGGTCCAAATTCCTTAAATTGCCTCTCCTGGGGAGTATACTTTTCAGGAAGTCTAGCCATCAGCTAAAGGGGGGTTGGGGTCAGCTGGACAGAGAGTTGGGGGATCCACCTTCACTCTAAGAGCACATCTACCCAGTGACTAACAAAGCTGGGCTCTTGGACCAGGGTACTCTATCCAACTCTGCCTGCATGGGCACTGCTAGAGTTTGCCTCTTAAACTGCCCCTGGTGAGGTCCTTCTGTGACTAACAGGCAACCTTCTGAGTGATAATATAGAGGAATGCTTAAGAGACAGGCTTTGGAGTCAGACCTGGGTTCCAATGTCACCTCTGCTCTGGTATTTGAGGCAAATTGTTTAACATCTTGGAGCCTTAAACTTTTGAGGATAATTCTTTTCCAGTGCTTCCGAAGAGGTTGCTTACTCTTAGCGTGGGGCCGGGCATAACTGATCTATTACATTTCTTTCCCAATTGACTCAGATGATGATGTTTTTCCATTTTCAAGTTCCTGGGGAGGGTATGCTCTGCACTTCCTCATTACCCCCATATGCTGCCCTCTCTAAGGACACTACCCTAGGTCCATCTGCCAGGCCCCGCAGGTCTGATCTGGCCTTTCCAGGCTCCAGCCACACTGGCTACCTTGTTTGCACAGAGGTTCTTAACCCTCCTCAGGGCTGTTGCTGGGACTGTCCCCTGCCTGAAGTGCCGTTCCTTTCCTTTCCCTGGTGACTCGTGACTTTTCGCATTTACACCTTTAACTTAAATATATCACCTCTTTAGAGAGGACATCCTTTACCCCTACCTTATCTAAAATGTGCCCCCCCCCTTCCTGGTTTCACCTCTGCTTGTTGACTGCCCTTATTATACCTGTAACTATTCTCTTCTGTTACTTGCTTTTATTCCCCTTGCACTGGGATGTAAGCTCCATGAGGTCAGGGACCATTCGTCAGCACCTGTAAATACTGTGAAATCACTCAAGCCCAAAGGGCGGTGGCACCCAGGAAGTATTGGATAAGGAACCATGACACTAACTTTAAGTGGGACTCAGTGCTCTCTTCCGCCTTGAGTGCCCCGCTCATCAACGGTCTGGGTGAGGCCCCAGGTCCTAAAGAAGACCTCGCTCGACTGCCTCGGGGCCCACCGCAGCCCCTAAACCAGCCCGGAGCAGTCTGATAGTGCCCAGGGAATGGTTTCCAAGGTAACAGCAAATGGGGCGGGGCTTGGAACGGAGGACAGGGAGAAGAGGCGGCGACGCGGAGGGGAGGCGGGATCAGGGGTGCTGGGAGGGCGTGCGCGGCAAGGGGCACATGCAGGGCCCCCGCGCGCCACTGCTCCTTAGCGCGGGGGAACTGGGGCCTGGGCGCCGGGGCTCGGCCTCCTGGTATTGCCAGGAGGGCGGCTCAGTGTGCCACTGGCTGTGGAAGTCGCAGCCTCCCAAGCCACGCACCAGTTTACCCTCTGCACGCCGCTCCGATTTCCGTCTGCCGGGGAGGCCGCCTTGGCCTGGCCCCGCCTCCGCCCAGCCCGAGGAGGGTCGCGCAGGCGGCAGAAGCGAGGCGGGCAGCCCCGCCCCTGCGCGGCGCCTTGGCCGCGCCTTCAGGACACCCTGCACCCAAGCTCAGGGTGACGTGGATCCCCGCCCCCTCGACTCCCCGCACACACTGGTCCTGGATGACCCCTCGCCGCAGGATGGTGAGGCCCCGTGCGACCTGCTTGCTGCTTGCCCTGGCCTACGGCGGCTGCGAGGACGAGAATACACTGGGGTGGAGGGAATGGGGGTCTGGAGAAGAGCGGCCGAGGGTGGGCATCCGGATGAGGCGGGAGGTACAGAAGAGGCGTGGCTATCGGTGGCCAGAAAATACCCTAGGCAAAGACCCTGGACCAAGCCCCAGCCTACCCCGCCCCTACTCCGCATCTTTCTGTAGGTTCCCCGGTCCTCTGGCGACGATTCTCCAAGGCGTCTCACATGAACCGGCTCCAAAATGCCAAAATCCACGTGGAGAGAGCTGTCAAGGTCAGAGGAGGGGCGGGGGCATTTAGAAAGGACCATGGAAGCAGTTCAGCCTGTCTCCCTGCGGTATTTTCTTACATCCTTAAAAAACAAAAGCAAAAGAGAAAACAACAGCAAAACCCTCAACCCCCACACCCATCTTCAGCTACCTCCCCATTTACCCCTTCTGCACCAAACTTCTGGGCTCCCTCTACTCTGGTTCCCTACGATGTCCCACTCTAATCAAGGTGCCTTGGTGAGTTCCAGGAGCCAAACCCAGCAGCGCCTTTCTCTCTTAATCTCGGTTGGGCACACAGTATCTTTCAGCACCGCTGCCCACACACTTCCCCTTGGCTGTCTGAGTGCACGCTCCTGGTTTTCCTTTCTCCCTCTTTGGCTGCTGCTTTTCAGCACTCTTTGAAGGTTTCTCAGCCATTAGTGGCCCCCTGGCCCCTTCCCCAGGTCTGTCTCCTTTGGCTGTGTCCTTGGCTCTGAGTCCAGTCAGTGTGCTGTATCTCCTCTGTTTCCCTTCCAGCCCAGCCTTGAACTCCACACCCTGTAGATCCAGGCCCCTACCTCTCATCTTCACCCAGAAAACTAAACAAGCATTTCAAATTCATGTCCCAAACCACACTCTGATTTTCCTGCCCAAACCTGTCGTCCTTCCCAGTCTCTGGTCTCTCCCATCTCACAGTTACTCATGTCAGAAATCTCATCTTTCTGTTTCTTCACCCACAGTTCTAATCCCATCAGCAAAACCACTTGTCATCTCTACCTTCAAAACCATTTTCAACTCTGCCACCTTCTCCCGTCTGTGTTGTAACCATCATTTTAGTAATTGTGATTTTTCTCCTAGCAAACCATGACAGCCTCCTAGCTGGTCTGCCTCCATTCCTGTCCCGTCATCTTTTTGCCATACAACAGCAAGCCAAGCTTAGAAAGATTTCCTTAGTTAGCCTTTATTACTCACGACACTCTGTATAAAATCCAAGTCTGTTCCAAGGCCTGCAGGGCCTTCCACAGTCTGGCCACTGCCTACCTCTTCTGGGGCTCTCCCCATCATTTTCCATCTCCTCTCACTCTGGTCTCCCTTCAGTTCCTTCTGACCTCTCTCCAGCCTCAAGGCCTTTGCACATGCATTCCCCTCTGCCTAAACCACCATTTCCCAGCTCTGTACATTCAAGGCTTCCTTTCAGCCTTTCCTGACCATGTTTTTCTAAGTAGTTTCTCTGGATCCCCAGTAAGTATGCAATTTCTAGAGCCAAACTGCCAGGATTTAAATCTCTGCTCTTTTGCTTAACCACTGTATGGCTTCAGGCAGGCTGCTCAACTTATCTGTGCTTCTGTTTCATAGCCAGTAAAATGGGGATAACAGCATCTAATAAAAATGCATCCTATTGGCCAGGCATGGTGGCTCACACCTGTAATCCCAGCACTTTGGGAGGCTGAGGCAGGAGGATCACTTGAGGCCAGGAATTTGAGACTAGCCTGCACCAACACAGTGAAACTCAGTCTGTGCCAAAAAATATAAAAATTATCTGGGTGCCAGGTGTGGTAGCTGACACTTTTAATCTCAGCACTTTGGGAGGCCAAGGTGGGTGGATCACCTGAGGTCAGGAGTTTGAGACCAGCATGGCCACTATGGTAAAACCCCATCTCTACTAAAAATACAAAAATTAGCCAGACCTGCTGGCACACACCTGTACTCCCAGCTACTCACGAGGTAGGAAAATCACTCAAACCTGGGAAATGGAGGCTGCAGTGAGCTGAGATTGTGCCACTGCACTCCAGCCTGGGAGACAGAGCAAGACTCCATCTCAAAAAAAAAAAAAAAAAAAAAAAAATTATCTGGGCATGGTGGCGTGCACCTGTAATCCTAGGTACTCAGGGAGGCTTAGGCAGGAGAATTTCTTGAACCTAGGAGCAGTGGGTGCAGTGAAGATCGTGCCACGACACTCCTGCCTGGGCAATGGAGTGAGACCCTGTCTCAAAATAAAGCAAAAAGGCATAGTATTGTTAATAATGCATGTAAGCTCTGAGCACATAGTAGGTCCTTAGTAAATATCAGCCATTGCCATTATCATTATTACTATGCATATTTATTTCTCTACTTGTTTATAGTCTGTCTCTCCTATGGAATATAAAAATTTCCTGATGGCAGAGTCCAAAACTATCTGGTTCACCTTTATATCTCCTATGTCTGGCACTTACGCAATACTTATTGAAGAAGTATCCATCTCTCACCTTGTAGCAGAAGAAGATCTTTACCATCCAAGGCCGCTACCCGGTGATCCGGTGTCTCTTGCGCCGGAGGGGCTGGGTGGAGAAGAAGATGGTTCATTGCTCAGGCTCCACCCTGCTGCCACTCCAGAAGGATCCGGATAGCTCAGTGATGGGTGACAGTGACACCACTGAGGATGGTGAGCAGTTCCCTCCCTTTCTGCAGCTATCCCTCCTGAGTCCCTTTCCTTTGGTTCCCAGTGTCCCAGGGTGGAGGCCTTATGGGCTATGGGGCAGGGAGAGGGGCCTCATCAGCTCTGGGCTCTGCATCCACAGAGGATGAAGATGAGGATGAGGAGTTCCAGCCACCACAGCTGTTCAACTTCGATGATTTACTGAAATTTGATGACCTAGATGGAACACATTCTCTGATGGTGAGGGCCCTGGGGGCCAAGATGAAGCAAGGGCTGCCTGCTTAGAGGGAGAGCACCGGTGTCCAGCTGGGTGAACTCAGACAAGTCCTTTTTTTTCTGGTCCACAGTTTCCCTATCTGTAGTAAAAACTGCCTCTTTAAAGGCTGGATAGAGCTCAGCATGGTGGCTCATGCCTGTGGTCCCAGCTAATTAGGAGGCTGAGGTGGGAGGATCACTTGAGGCTAGGAGTTCAAGACCAGCCTGGAAAACATAGTAAGACCCAGTCTCTACAAAAAATGTAGAAAAACGTTATCCAGGTGTGGTGGCTTGTTCCTGTAGACCCAGCTACTTGGGAGGTTACCCAGGAGTTACTGGCTGCAGTGAGCTATGAGCCTGCTACTGCACTCCAGCCTGGGCAGCAGAGCAAGACTCTATCTCTGAAAAAGGAATAAGTGAATAAAGGCTGGCTAGGCCTGCAGAGTGCGGAGGGACATAGCCCTGCTGGGTCCCATCTGGCCTGAATTCAGAACTCTGCTAGGTCATATCAGATGCCAGCACAGCCTCCATGTATGGTAGCTCACCCGTCAAATAAAAACCACATAGTTCTCCTTCTTCTGCTCTTGGTAAGTGAAGGCAGGAAGGATGGGCTTTAAAAGCTCTGTAAGAGGCTGAGCAGGGTGGCTTATGCCTGTAATCCCAGTACTTTAGGAGGCCAAGGTGGGCTGATCACTGAGATCAGGAGTTTGAGACAAGCCTGGCCAACATGGTGAAACCTCATCTCTATAAAAACAAACAAACAAAAAACCCCCCAAAAATTAGCCGTGTGCGGTGGCAAGCACCTGTAATGCCAGCTACTCAGGAGGCTGAGGCAGGAGAATTGCTTGAACCTGGGAGGTGGAGATTGCTGTGAGCTGAGATCACACCACTGCACCCCAGCCTGGGTGACAGAGGGAGACTCCATCTCAAAAAATAAAAATAAAAAATAAAATAAAGGCCAGGTACAGTGGCTCATGCCTATAATCCTAGCGCATTGGGAGGCTGAGGCTGGTGGAACATCTCGAACTCCTGACCTCAGGAGTTCGAGACTAACCTGGCCAACATGGTGAAACCCCATCTCTACTAAAAAAATAGAAAAATTAGCTGGGTATAGTGGCACATGCCTGTAATCCCAGCTACTTGGGAGGCTGAGGCAGGAGACTTGCTTGAACCTGGGAGGCGGAGGTTGCAGTGGTCCAAGATCACACTACTGCATTCACTCCAGCCTGGGCAACAGAGTGAGACTCCATCTCAAAAAAAAAAAAAAAAAAACCCACAAACAAAACAAAACAAAACAAAATCTGAAAGGGACGGTTTTGATGGTGTGGAGGACATGCATGCTGAGGTTTGCATCTTGGCTGTGCCACTTACTGAGTTGAATGATACAAAATTGCCATTTCTGACTGGGCACAGTGGGTCATGCCTGTAATCCCAGTGCTTTGGGAGGCCAAGGTGGGCAGATCATTTGAGGTCAGGAGTTCAAGACCAGCCTGGGGAACAGAGTGAAACCCCGTCTCTACTAAAAATGCAAAAAAAAAAAAATTAGCTGGGCATGGTGGTGCATGCCTGTAATCCCAGCTACTAGGTAAGCTGAGGCAGAATAATCACTTGAACCCAGGAGACAGAGGTTGCAGTGAGCCAAGATCACACTGCTTCACTCCAGCCTGGGTAACAGTCAGACTTTATCTCCAAAAAAAAAAAAAAATCCATTTTTCTATGTCAGGAATGGTTGAATATTGGCAACTTCATATGTAGCAATCTCATGAGCCCTTAGGCAAGTCACTTGCCTCCCTGTGCCTTGGTTTCCTCATCTGTGAAACAGAGATAACAGTAGCCCCTACCACACAGAATTGTGGTGAGCCTTGAATGAACTGACATGAAAGTTGCTTAGAAAGACATATGCTGCCGGGCGCGGTGGCTCAAGCCTGTAATCCCAGCACTTTGGGAGGCCGAGGCGGGTGGATCACAAGGTCGAGAGATCGAGACCAACCTGGTCAACATGGTGAAACCCCGTCTCTACTAAAAATACAAAAAATTAGCTGGGCATGGTGGCGCGTGCCTATAATCCCAGCTACTCAGGAGGCTGAGGCAAGAGAATTGCCTGAACCCAGGAGGCAGAGGTTGCGGTGAGCCGAGATCGCGCCATTGCACTCCAGCCTGGGTAACAAGAGCGAAACTCCGTCTCACAAAAAAAAAAAAAGAAAAGAAAAGAAAAAAAAAGAAAGACATATGCTGACACTGCTTATCAATAATTATCCCACCTCCCAGAGTTGTAGGAAGGATGGAGAGGTGGGGTCCATGAGATAGCCTTTGTTGCAGGCTGTGTGCCCATCAGCTTGGAGTCACCGTCCTGTCCCTGGGCAAGTCACTGATGACCATGGGCCAAAACAAGTTGTGCAGCTTTGTCACTGCTTGGGGACACCCTTAGGGGCCCTGCCCCCTCAGCAGCTAACTCCATAGGTGGGTCTATGTCTCAGTCTTCGGCATTTGTTGTGGTTTGATGAGGCTGATGCTAACTCCTCACACTGTTACTGCCTGGAGGCTGAGAATGACAAGCCTCATAGGACACCTTAAACAGTGACAAAGGAAGGCAGAAGGGAGCCTTTGGCCTCCCTAAGACCAAAAGGAGGTTGAAAGGCTGGACTGCTGTCTACCCACCTGTGCCCTGGCGGGAGAGAAGTCTTTTATTGCCTTACACAAAGATGATGTGTAGGCTAGAGGCCACCTTGGAAGCATCTGCATCCTTTCCTTCCTGTTCACCCACACTGCTCAGCAGGACAGGGAGAAGCTGCTTTAGGCCCTGCTACCCACAGTGTTCTCTTTCTATCTCCTCCCCTTCTCTCTAGTCTCGCATGGTTCGGAATGAGACCCCCTACTTCATCTGGACCACTCGGCGGGATGTGCTTGACTATCGCTTCCTCTCTAAGGATCAGATGATAAACCACTATGCCCGGGCTGGCTCCTTTACCACAAAGGTAGGCTCCCCAGAGCAGGCAGGGAAGCTTCCAACTCCTTGCCCTTGGGCTGGCAGCCCTGCTCCCCACTCTCCTTGTCAGAAAGAGGAAGTTCTCAGTACAAGAGGAAGTATATAATTCAGATTTGGAGTCTGACCAGTATCTGACTAGTTCAAATCCAACCCCTGTGTGGTATCTGGCATGTATAGACATAGTGACTAAAATGGGCTCCAGCATTCAAATGGGTCTGGAGGTAGAACAGTCACCAAATCCAGTGATAGTGAACAAGCAGGCTCTTACCTCCTAAGCCGAAGATATCTGGCTAATAGACCCATTCTGTCTTACCTAGGTTTCTTTGTTTTTGTTTTGTTTTATTTTGTTTTTGAGAAAAGTGCAGTGGTGCAATCTCAGCCCACTGCAACCTCTGTCTTCTGGGTTCAAGCAATTCTCCCGCCTCAGCCTCCTGAGTAGCTGTGACTACAGGTGCATGTCACCACATCCGGCTGATTTTTGTATTTTTAGTAGAGATGGCTTTTCACCATGTTGGCCAAGCTGGTCTCAAACTCATGACCTCAGGTGATCCACCTCCCTCAGCTTCCCAAAGTGCTGGGATTACAGGCATGAGCCACCATGCCCAGCCCTACCTGGGTTTCTTAGCAAGTAACTTTGCCTCTCTGCGTCTCAGTTTCCTCACCTTTCAATGAAAATACCAGTAAGGCCTATCTTTTGGGGTGTGGCAAGGACGAAGGGCTTTATAATAATGACCTGCCATTATATTTTTGATGTAGGTTAGGAAGGATTCTAGAGGAAGCAGCTTTTTTTTGTTTTGTTTTGTTTTATTTTTAAGAGATTAATAAGAGATTTTTTATTCTTGCTATGTTGCCCAGGCTGGTCTTGAACTCCTGGCCTCTGGCCTCAGGCAGTCCTCCCACCTCAGCCTCCCAGAGTGCTGGGATTACAGGTGTGAGCTACCACACCTGGCCTTGGCAGCTCTTTAAGAATGTGAAAGGGTGGACAGGAGGGACGTCAGACATTTTTGGCAAAGGATACCGCCCAGGCAAACATACGGTGATAGATGTGAGCAAGTCAGACCAAGCAAGTGGGGCCAAGGCTCTGAGAGCATCCGGGTGGGATGCTTTCTGAGCTATCTGGGTGTGTGCTGGGTGTGGGCAGTCCTGTCCTGCCCCCTCAGCGGCTAACTCCATAGGTGGGTCTATGTCTCAATCTCCGGAATTTGCCATGGTTTGATGAGGCTGATGCCGACTCCTTCTTCCCACGCTGCTACCGCCTGGGGGCTGAGGATGACAAAAAAGCCTTCATAGGTAAGGAGACCCCCAGTCCCATGCCTGGACCTGAGGCTGAAGGAGCAGGGCTCATACTGGAGAGCAGCAGGATTCTCTTCATGCCCTCATCTGCCCCAGCAGACTTCCTTCCCTACACTCAATCTTGATCCTTCCCTAATGTGCCCTCCCTTAATGAGCCCCTTAGCCTGGTCAACTCTGACCTCCAGAAAAGCTCAGGTAGCATGGTGTATATTGTAGAACAGGTTCTAAAAGTTGCTCAGTCCCTTGAGTTTGGAATCCAGAACAGACTCCAGGCTTATGTCAAGTTCCACTAGTTCAATTGAGTTCCAAAAAAGGCAGCAGGCTTTGGGTTTCTAAGGCAGACTAGGTTCCAATTCCACAATATGTTCTAAATTCAGGTTAGAATTTGGATCCAGATTTTATGCCAGGTTTAAATTACATTCAAAATCTGAAATAGGACACAGTCTGGTTCTCGGGATAAAATAAGCATTAAAAATAGATCATGAACAGATGAAATAAATCAGACAGTGGGTCCAGGCCAGATTCCGAAGGTAGAATATGAGCCAAGTCAGGTAAGATTTGGGGTTTGGTTCCACAACTGAAACAGGAGCAAGTTCTAAACTCAGGCTCTAGAGTCAGAAAAGGTAGAGTCAGGTTCCGGATCCAAAATGGGGCAAGTCATGATCAGGTTCCGGAACCAGAACAGGCCTCAAGCCTAGAGGCTGAGCAGGGTATCCCATGCCCCGGGAGCAGAAGACTTCTGGCTGACAGCTGCCCGCAACGTTCTCAAGCTGGTGGTAAAGTCTGAGTGGAAGTCATACCCTATACAGGCAGAAGAGGAAGAAGCCACAGGTAAGTACTGTAGTTATCTCCACTCTGCCACCCATTTATCCTCCACCCATCCGTCCTTCCACTGATCTGCCCTTCCGCCTGTCTATTCATCCACCCACCTCCACACATCTGTGTATGATTCACATCTACTCATCTATCCATCCATCCATCCACCCATCCATCCATCCATCCATCCACCCACTTATTCACCCAGTATTTGATCTACCGATTCACCCACCCACCCTTCCACTCATCCTTCCATCCTCTCACCTGTCACCCTTTGTTAATCTCTTCATTCACCTACCTGACATCAGCTTCATACTCCCCGTCCAACTATCCACTCCCTGCCTACCTATCCTTCCACAGGTCCGTCAACCCAACTCTCTTCCTCCTATTCCATTCTCCTCTCCCCTACCTATGTGTCCTCCAGTCCATCCACTCATCCATTTTTCTGTCCCAGGTACCTAGACACTTGTCTTCTCATCTATTTGTTAGTTGATCCACTCCTCATTCAGCTCCCCCATGGGCCTGGCATGTGGCCGAGCACCCTGGAGAGGGCTTCAGGTCTCTGAGGAGAAGGAAGCAGTGAAACTGGGCTTTACACATGGCCTGAGGACACCTTGGGCCTGAACATAAGGAACAGCTGGGATTGGAGGGGCACACAGAGGAATGCTCACTATCACTGCATGCCAGCCAACCACCACCTGGCCTTCCCCTTTCTGGATTTAGCTTCTGTCTCCAGGTCCCTGTAATCCAGGGACCCATCAGTGAGGGATTCAGGGAAGTAGAGGCAGCTCTCCAGGAAGGAAGACAGTCCTGCCTCTTCCAGAGGGAGATCTCCCCATTGCTGTCTCTTGTGTGTGTCACGTACAAGGAAGGCTTGGTTGTGTGCCAGGATAAGGGGTACAAGGGCCTCGGGTGTGGCCAGAGACCCCGTGCTTAAGCTTTTATGGTATAGGTTAGGCTGAGGGCCTGAGTTGTATATGAGGATCTTTAGAGCATTGAGATGTTCAGGGGTGAGTCAGGTCTGTGGGTGTGCATGGGTTCTTCTGAAGGGTCAGCTTCTGTAATCACTTTTAGGTTTGTGTCAGGGCCTTGTACAGTAGCAGTGCACACAGAGGTTAGTGTTTCTGTGGGCTAAGGGTTGTAGCTCTTTATCAAGATTCTGGGAATGGGTCTGGATTCCTGGTGTGTGGACTTAAGGAGCTGTGTCAGACTTGGGAGAGGGGTATTCATGTATAACTGAGTTCACATAGGCCAAAGCTCCCAGGTGCATTTTAGGCAGAGCCTCAGGTGTGTCAGAGATCCCAGGGGCAGAGAGGTGTGTGCCATGGCTATAGGTGCTGGTTAGAGGCCTTGGGGACACTTAGAGTGGAGCCTTAAGTGAGTGACAGGTCCTCGGACAGTGGGAGCCAAGGGCAGGTGCTAGAGTTGCAGTGAATTTAGAGCAAAGCCTCAGCTAAGTGACACATCCCAGGGCAGTAGGGGACCTATCTAGGTTCGTGCTGTGCCTGAAGTATGTGACAGGCCTTAGGACGATGGGGGCTGTGGCATGTGTCAGATTACCTGCCTTGATGTGGGATCATGACAGGCCCCTCCCTATGCGCAGGAGACAAGCAACCCAAGAAACGGGAGAAAAACCAAGTGTCGGTGTCTCCAGAGTTTGTGGATGAAGCTCTGTGTGCGTGCAAGGAGTACCTTAGCAACCTGGCCCACATGGACATCGACAAGGACCTGGAGGCCCCACTGTACCTCAGCCCCAAGGACTGGTCCCTCTTCCTCCAGCACTACTACCAAGTGGTCCAGTGAGTCCCCTGCAGCTGGGACTTTGGGATGTGGGCAGGTGCTTAGGGACAGACCCTCTTGGTCTCATGCAGCCCCCACTCCTTCCCCAAGCTCTTGTTTGCCCTGCTGCTCTTCTGCTCGGGAACCCTCAAGGACTCCCACTCCCTCCGTGACAGGGTCTGGGCCACTCTTTCTGGTTCCTGGCATAGCATAGTCACTAAGAGCATGTGCCGCCAAGTGGACAGAACATTGCCCAAAGTGTGTGCACAGAGGTTAATTCTACAGGAAGTGAATAGATTTTATGAAAAGAGGGCTTTTGTGGTCCATCACATTGGGAAAACGTTGGATTAGGCAGTTAATTAGAGGCTTTCCTGGTGCAGGACTCTTTGGAACCTATAGGTGGTGCAAGCCTATAGAGAGAGTGTGCAGCATATCCTGTACTTAAGTGAGCCCAGTGCCCTGCCTCCCCGCAAGCATCCTGAGGGGCAGTGTTTTCAGAACACACTTTGGGAAAAGGTTTTTAGGTAGAGGAAGGGAGGATCAGGGTGAGCCTGGTGATGCTTTAGGGAGATTCCATTCAGCAGAGCATGCAGGAGGGACTAGAGGGAGAATAGCACTAAGGCAGAACACACAGTAAGCAATTTTTGAGCAACTACTATGTGCCAAGGATTATGCCAGCTTCCAGAAATGAAGTGTAGCCCTTGTTCCCAACTGGGACACAGTAAATCTACCCATCTTAAATTAAGAGTTATCAAGGCAGCCAGGAGCGGTGGCTCACACCTGTAATCCCAGTACTTTGGGAGGCCGAGATGGGGAGATCTCTTGAGGTCAAGAGTTTGATACCAGCCTGGCCAACACGGTGAAACCCCATCTCTACTAAAAATATGAAAATCAGCTGGGATGGTGTCACACTCCTGTAATCCCAGCTACTTGGGAGGCTGAGACGGGAGAACTGCTTGAACCTGGGAGGCAGAGGTTGCAGCAAGCCGAGATCATACCACTGCACTCCAGCCTCGATGACAGAGTAAGGCTGTCTCAAGAAAGAAAAAAAAGAAAATCAAGGCTTAGAACATTAATTGTAAAATATATGAGTCCTTTTTATTTCTGGTATGTAGGGGCAAGTTCTAGAGGGCTATAGGACCTTCTCTAAAGTCAGGATTACATAAAATATTGCATCATATAATAGACGTACACAGTGTTGAATGGTTCAGTACAAATGACCAGCATGCATTCATTCCTACAATATTTTATTTATTTATTATTTTGTGTGTGTGTGTGTGTGTGTGTGTGTGTGTGTGTGTGTGTTTGTATGGTGGAGTTTTGCTCTTGTTGCCCAGGCTAGGGTGCCATGGCACCATCTCGGCTCACTACAACCTCTGCCTCCTGGGCTTAAGTGATTCTCCTAACTCAGCCTCCCGAGTAGCTGGGATTGCAAGCATGTGCCACCATGCTCGGCTAATTTTATTTATTATTTTTATAGAAGAGACCGGGTTTCTCTATGTTGGTCAGGCTGGTCTTGTACTCCTGACTTCAGGTGATTCGCCCGCCTTGGCCTCCTAAAGTGCTGGGATTACAGGTGTGAGCCACCGTACCCGGCAATATTTTTTGTTTGTTTGTTTTTTTGAGACAGAGTCTCACTCTGTTGCTCAGGTTGGAGTGCAGTGGTGCAGTCTTGTCTCACTGCAACTTTTGCCTCCCAGGCTCAAGTGATTCTCCCGCTTCAGCCTTCTGAGTAGCTAGGATCATGGGTATGTGCCACCAGGCCTAGCTAATCTTAGTGTGCTTAGTGTGATATATATGTGTATGTATATTTGTAAAGACATGGTTTTACCACATTGGCCAGGCTGGTCTCGAACTCCTGAGCTCAAACAGTACCCCCGTCTTGGCCTCCCAAAGTACTGGGATTACAGACGTGAGCCACTGCATCCAGCCTGATCCATTCAATATTTACTGTTATGCTTCTCAACTTTAAACAAACAAACAAACGAACAAATCCGCTGGGCACGGTGGCTCACACCTGTAATCCCAGCACTTTGGGAGGCCGAGGTGGGTGGATCACGAAGTCAGGAGTTCGAGACCAGCCTGGCCAATATGCTGAAACCCCATGGCATATGCCTGTAGTCCCAGCTACTCAGTAGGCTGAGACAGGAGACTCCATATCAAAAAAACAGAATCCATCTCAAAAACAAACAAAAATATCCTTGCCTCCCAGCCAGTTGTTGTTGTTGTTGTTGTTATAATACTGGATTTTAAGAACTAAGCCAGCCAGGTTTTCATCAAGGCTGACTTTTCATTAAAATACTGGTGTTTTTTCTTTTCACTAACTATACAATCATATTGTCATGTCGAATATACTTTTTCAAATTACACGTGCTCCTGCCACTCCTGTGTGACATTTTTCTGGGCCACATCACAGACTACTGTACTGAGTAGATACTTCATGCTACGGGCCACAGAGAAGTTTTTCAGGATGTTAAGTGTGAGTACTCCTGGGAGGCCTTGCCAAGCCCCCTGCATCTGGCTGTCCCTGTTCCTGGCACTGCCCCAATGGCTGCTGCCTCCTTCTTAAAAAAGAGCAAGTTCTCCACGACTGGTAACATTCAAGATGCAAAAGTGTCACAGAGTTAGCTTCCTCTGAGTAGGAGACTCCTGTCCTATTCAGTCAGAAGAAAAGAAATGGGAGAGTCTGGATCAGAGGCTATCTGGGGTATTTTGTGACTTGGTTTAGTTCAGGACGTTTTCTGTCCCTCTTTGTTCATGAACCCCTGTGCAGTCCAGTTGCTGAGGCAAGCTCCTGCCAAAGTACTTGCTGAGACAGCCGTTCATTCATTGAGCAAACTTTTAGGGAGTACCTGCTGAGTGCCAGGTGTGGTGCTTGGGGATGGGGAATAGAGCAGAGAACAACTACAAAAAATGTTCCTGCTCTTAAGGAGTTTACATTCTAGTTAGGGGATTCAGACAATTACCAAATAAACAGATGTGTCAGGTGGGGGTAAATGATGAGGAGAAAACAAGCAAGAAAAGGTGTGATACAGATGTGCTTGAAAGAAATTAGGCTAACACTGTATTGGCCAATGTTAGGCCCAGATTTAAGAGGGGAAGGAACTCCAAAAATCACCTATGGGTGAAGGAATCAGACAGGACAGAGTTTGAATCCCGGCAGAACCATTCAACGCTCAGTGTATGGCCTTGGGTAAGTCCCTTAACTCTCAAAGCTTCAGTTTGCTTTTCTTTTCTTTTTCTTTCTTTCTTTCTTTTTTTTCTTTTTTTTTTTTTTTGAGATGGAGTCTTGCTGTATTGCCCAGGCTGGAGTGCAATGGCGCAATCTTGGCTCACTGAAACCTCTGCCTCTTGGGTTCAAGCGATTCTCTTGCCTCAGCCTCCTGAGTAGCTGGGATAACAGGCACACACCACCACACCTGGCTAATTTTTGTATTTTTAGTAGAGACGGGGGTTTGCCATGTTGGCCAGGCTGGCCTCAAGCTCCTGATCTGCCCACCTTGGCCTTCCAGAGTGCTGGGATTACAGGCATGAGCCACTGCACCTGGCCCAGTTTATATTTCTCTAAAATGGGACCAGGGCTGGATGTGGTAGCTCATGCCTGTAATACCAGCACTTTGGGAGGCTGAGGCAGGAGGATTGCCTGAGGCCAGGAGTTCAAGACCAGCCTAGGTAACATAAGACCCATTTCTGCAAAAAAAAAAAAAAATAGCCTGGGTGTGGTGGTGCATGCCTGTAGTTCCAACTACTTGGGAGGCTGAGGGTTGGACCCAGGAGTTCCTGGCTGCAGTGAGCCATGATTGCATCATTGCACTCCAGCCTGGGTGACAGAGCAAGACCCTGTCTTTAAAAAAAAAAAAAAAAAAAAAGTCAGGGGGTGGGGGACAGGTATCAGCAGTTCCCTGACAGGGCCTTGAGAGGATTAGTGATAATATATGGAATGCGCTTGACACACAGTGCCTGGCACATAGTGGTGCTTTATCGTTAGGAACTGGAATGATTAAATTCTGTCAAAGACAGTTTTAATTAATAGGAAGGGGGTGGCACAGGTGGAGTGTTGAAGTAGGAGATGTGGTAAATGGAATTTTGTCAACCTTTCTGATTCCTGTAGTCTGGGCAGGTTAGGATTTCAGGGGTGGCTTGAGGGTGGGGCTAGAGGCTTGGGGGGGACCTATCAAGATCTGCAGGGAGGGAGTAACTAAGGCTGCCTGGATGATGGTGGGGGTGGTGAGCTATGTCTCCCCTTCCTGTCTACACCCACATGTCCCAAGTTCCATCATTTCTCCACAGCGAAGGGGCAGAACTCAGGCACCATGACACTCAGGTCCAGCACTGTGAGGACATCCTGCAGCAGCTGCGGGCTGTGGTACCCCAGATAAACATGGAAGGGGATCGCAACATCTGGATCGTGAAACCAGGAGCCAAGTCTCGCGGACGAGGTGGGGGTCAGCTCCTACTTCCTGCACTGGTACCCCACAACCTGCATCTCCCACTAGAGGCCAAGGAAGTGAATAGTGCAGGCTTACTGAAGCCAAATTGCTTGGGTTTGAGTCCCAGCTCTGCTACTAATATTCTTCGTGACCTTTAGCAGGTTATATCACCTCCTTGAGGTGATATAACATCATCTGTGAAATAAGGAGGATGATAATACCTCCTGTGAGGTGAGGAGTAAATGCAGTCACGCATTTAAAGCACTATTCCAAATCCTTAACATGCTTTAATTTATACGATGCAGGGAAACTGAGCACGTGTAGACTCTCACATGACCCGGAAGGATATCCATAAGGACCTGGAAGCAGCAGTTGGCTGCCTCTGGACAAGATGTACTTGTTATTGTATGCCCTTTTGTACTGTCTAATTTTTGGTTTTATAGTCTGTTTATTATTGGTGGGAAAGCAATATGTGCACATGCTTTTAAAAAGCTCAACACTGGCCAGGTGCAGTGGCTCACACTTGTAATCCTAGCACTTTGGGACCCTGAGGCGGGAGGATCACTTGAGGTCAGGAGTTGGAGACCAGCCTAGCCAATATGATGAAACCCTATCTCTACTAAAAATAAAAAACCCTAGCCTGGCATGGTGGCAGGCACCTGTAATCCCAGCTACTCAGGAAGCTGAGGGAGGAGAATCACTTGAACCCAGGAGGCGGAGGTTGCATTGAGCTGAGCTCGTGCCATTGCACTCCAGCCTGGATGACAGAGGGAGACTCCAACTCAAAAACTAAAAAACAAAAAAGGCCAACACTTTAAATTTTTATTCAGGTACATATTCCTGTTTAATCAAACAAAACTGGTTAATTAAGAAAAATTTAAAATCCTTAGCAAATTCCTGGCTTTTCCAAAGGAACTGGGTTCTAATTGAGAGAGGCAGCCTTACCCATGAGCCCTATCAGCTCTGTGGATGAGAGCTCATGGCAAGCTGGCCCTTCTCCCAGCCCATGCCTGACCTCCCAATCCCTGGCTGCTCTTTTCCTGCATAGGCATCATGTGCATGGACCACCTGGAGGAGATGCTGAAGCTGGTGAACGGCAACCCCATGATGATGAAGGACAGCAAATGGGTGGTACAAAAGTATATTGAGCGGCCCCTGCTCATCTTTGGCACCAAGTTTGACCTGAGACAGTGGTTCCTGGTAACTGACTGGAACCCACTTACCGTGTGGTTCTACCGTGACAGCTATCTCCGCTTTTCCACGCAGCCGTTCTCCCTGAAGAACCTGGACAAGTGAGCCCCACTGCTCACCTCCCATGAGCTCCCTGCCTAGTTGGGGAGCTGGCAAGCAAACAGGCAGTTACAGTGCAGGGGACCTGTGTAGCAGCGGTGGGCTCCATACACACGCTGCAGGCAGGCAGGGGCCCTCATCCAGCCAGCTGTCCTTGCATCCAACAGATTTTTTTTTTTTTTTTTTAACAGATGGGACAGTCTCACTCTGTTGCCTAGGCTGCAGTGCAGTGGCATGGTCATGGCTTACTGCAGCCTCGACCTCCTGTGCTCAAGCAATCCTTTCTCTGCAGCCTTCTCAGTAGCCGAGATCACAGGCATGTGTACCACAGCTGACTTTTAAATTTTTTTATGTAGAGATGAGGTCTCACTATGTTGCCCAAGCTGGTCTTAAACTCCCGGGCTCAAGTGATTGTCCCACCTCGGCTTCCCAAAGTGCTGGGATTACACTGCGCCTGGTCCCTCCAACAGATTTGACTGAGTGTGTACCCTGTACCATTACTGCTCTGGGCACTTGGGATATAGCAGTGAACAAAACAAGATCCCAGCTCTCAAGGGTACATTCTAGCAGGGAGAAACAGAGAAGCAATGAACACAAGTGAAATTATCTAACAGGTTAAAGGATTATATATGTCATTGTGGGGAAAAGGGAAGCAAATGTAGAGCAGGGAAAAGGAGGTCAGGAGTTTTGAAAGGCAAGATGTTGTATTTTAACTTCTGGGGTAAGAGAAAGCCTTGAAGCCTAAATTCGAATTCTGTCTCTACAGCTTCCAAGTTGTTTGACTCTAGGTCATGTGAAAACCTATTTAAGTCTCAGTTTCCACATCTGAAGAAGGGAGGCAGTAGTATGAAACGCATAGCTGTCAATTATTGAGTGCTTCATATGTGATAGTGCTGAGCACTTTGTATATATTATCTCATTCTTCATAAGAACCCAATGAATACTTCCTGTTCACCAGGTCTGAAGAAAAAAAAAACCACAATGAAGTGGGTACTGTTACTACCCCCATTTTGCAGATGTGAAGAGCATGCAGGTTAGATGACTTGCCTTAAGATCTCACAACTAGTGTGGAGATGGCATCCTGGTGATGACGGGGCCATACCCTTACCCACCCTCTCATCTTCCAAGCACTGGGATGGTTAACTGAGACTATGCACAAAGCACTTAGTACTGTGGCTCCTGTAATTGGCACCCTCAGAGCAGCCCTGAAAGATTAGAGTGGTTCTGGCCTTAGAAGAATGTGGTGGGGTCCAGGCCTCTGTCCTTTTTGTCCTTCCCAGTAGGGCCCCATCTCAAGTTGAACAGTGCAGGGTGGCCCAGGGCTGGTTCCAGGATTTGCCTGTCCTCCCTGAGCTTGGATGAGAGGGGCTCAAGGGCTTGGACCTCAGCTTTCTGCTCTCTGCCCCAGCTCAGTGCACCTGTGCAACAACTCCATCCAGAAGCACCTGGAGAATTCATGCCATCGGCATCCACTGCTGCCTCCAGACAACATGTGGTCCAGCCAGAGGTTCCAGGCTCACCTGCAGGAGATGGGGGCCCCAAATGCTTGGTCCACCATCATCGTGCCTGGCATGAAGAATGCTGTGATCCATGCACTTCAGACCTCCCAGGATACTGTGCAGTGTCGGAAGGCCAGCTTTGAGCTCTACGGTGCTGACTTTGTGTTCGGGGAGGACTTCCAGCCCTGGCTGATTGAAATCAATGCCAGCCCCACCATGGCACCCTCCACGGCAGTCACCGCCCGGCTCTGTGCTGGTGTGCAAGCTGACACCCTGCGTGTCGTCATTGACCGGCGGCTGGACCGCAACTGTGACACAGGAGCCTTTGAGGTCATCTATAAACAGGTGAGTAGGTCGGACCCAGGCAGAACCCCAGAGAGTCTGTGCCCTCTTCCAGGCAGCCCCATACTGGAGCATAGGGCTCTGCAGTCAGACCCAGTTTAAGACCCAGATTCAAGTCCTGGTCCTGCTAAGGTGACCTCACCTCCCTGAGCCTCAGGCTCCTGATCTTTGAAATGTGGATATTATTACCATCTTTCTCATGGGGATGGGAGAATAAAATGAATTAGTTTATGTGGATAATATTTCTAGAGAGGCATATAACATAGTCCTAAGAGCAGAGACTCTGGAACCTCCTTGGGTCCAAATTCCTGTTCAGTGACAACGAGCTATGTGACTTTGGACAAGTTCCTAACCCCTGGTTTTCCTCATCTGTAAGAATAAAAGTAGTACCTAATTCTCAAAGTTAGATACTATGAGTTGTATGAATTAAATGAGTTGATAAGTAAAGTACTTCATTTTTATTTATTTACTTTTGAGACAGAATCTCACTCTGTTGCCCAGGTGGGAGTGCACTGGCATAATCTTGGCTCACTGCAACCCCCACCTCCCGGTTTCAAGCGATTCTCCTGCCTCAGCCTCCCAAGTAGCTGAGATTACAGGTATCCGCCACCACACCTGGCTAATTTTTGTATTTTTAGTGGAGACAGGGTTTTGCCACGTTGGCCAGGCTGATCTCGAACTCCTGACCTCAGGTGATCCACCCACCTCGGCCTCCAAGAGTGCTGGGATTACAGGCAGGAGCCACCTCGCCCAGCCAGTAAAGTACTTTAGAATAGTGCCTGGCATAGAGCAAATGCTAATAAGCTTTAGTTATTGTTGTTATTACCTAATGAGGTTAGGAGTTACATCATGCATAACCTGTCAAGTGCCTGGATATATAGTAATAGGCAATTACTGGTAGCTACCATTATTATTAATATTATCATTATTTCACTCATCTTGCTCCAAAAAGAGATTGGAATCTACTTGTAAAATAGAACAGCATTTAAAAAAATTAGAAAATTGATTTCAAGGCTTTCTAAGCTCTGGATAGAATTTCTTGTGGCGGTTTAAGTGGCTTCTGATTAGCATTTGGCTTCTGTCAAGGTTTGGTTACAGGAAGAGAATGTAATGATCACACGTAAGTGTAATAAATATCTTGTCTTTATTACAATTATAGATCATTTCTTAAATTAATATATTGGCATTTTTGTTTCAAAAAATGTAAATGGGGAAATATACAGGCAAGTTGAGGGAAAAGGTGCCATTGTAGTGCAGTGCTCCCAATGCCAGTGCCCAGGCCAGAAGCAGTTGAAAGCTGCTATGGATGTCAGGGGGCTCCACCCCAGAGATTGACCCAAAATCCAAAATGTCTAGCTTGGGAAGGAGACTACGCATCTACATTCTTCACATGACTCCCAAATACACACACACACACACACACACACACACACACACACACACACACACACATATATATTTTTTTTTTTTAGACAGAGTCTCACTCTGTCACATCACCCAAGTCGGGTGACAGAGTGATCTTGGCTCTGCAACCTCTCCATTTTTCAAATGACTTCCCAATTTTTTTTTTTTTTTGAGACAGTGTCTCACTCTGCGACCCAGGCCGGGTGACAGGTGTGATCTTGGCTCTGCAACCTCCACCTTCCAGGTTCAAGTGATTCTCCTGCCTCAGCCTCTTGAGTAGCTGGGACTATAGGTGCCCACAACCATGCCTGGCTAACTTTTGTATTTTTAGTAGAAATGGGGTTTCACCACGTTGGCCAGGCCAGTCTTGAACTCTCGACCTCAAGTGATCCTCCTGCTTCGGCCCCTGCAAAGTAATGGGAATACAGGCGTGGGCCACTGTGCCCAGCCTCCTAAATGTTTTTTATTGCTGATTTGTTCTTTAGGCCAGCACATAATGAAGGCTCACACCTTGCACTTTTTTGTCTCTTTTCATCTAGGCCAGCCCCAGTGCCTTTTGTCCCGAGTTTTGATCTCTTGAGGGGCCAGGCTGGTTGTTTTGTAGAACTGTCCCACATTCTGGATTTATCTGATTCTTTCCTTATGGTGTTATTTACATTGGTCTTCTGTTAGCTGATTGTCTCAGAAATTATTAGTTAGGTCAAACAGCTTGATGAGTTCAGGTTAAACATTTCTGGCAAGAGCACTTCTGAGGTGATGCCGGGTACGTCATGTGTCATCACAAGGCACATCCTGTGTCTCACGGTTAGTGCTGCTGAGTTTGACTCTGGGTTACACTGGTGGCTACCAGAGCTCATCACGATAAAAGCTACATCTCCCCTTTGCAATTAATTTTTTTGTAAGGTAATGTGTTGGCTGTGTATAGATTATACATTTTCCTGTCATCCTTTTATCTAATTGTTTTGATACTAGTTTTGATTACTGCCTATTTTATTAGAGTTGCAAAACAGCAAATGTCTAATTCCATTGTTTCTTCTGCATTTATTAGCTAAGATTCTTCTGTAAAGATGAGCTTTCTCTCATCATCTGGGGCTACTCGGGAGTGCTCATAGCTGTATTTTTATTTATTTATTCATTTTTTGAGACAGAGTCTCACTGTGTCACCCAGGCTGGAGTACAGTGGCACTATCTCGGCTTACTGCGATCTCTTGTCTCCTGGGTTCAAGTGATTCTCCTTCTCAGATCCTGAGTGGCTGTGATTACAGGCGCCCACCACACCTGGATAATTTTTGTGTTTTTAGTAGAGATGGGGTTTCGCCTTGTTGACCAGGCTGGTCAATATGAGGTCATGATCACTCCTGACCTCAGGTGATCCACTCACCTCGGCCTCCCAAAGTTCTGGGATTATAGGCATAGCCACTGAACCCGGTGATGGCTGTATTATTATTATTATTTTGAGATGGAGTTTCACTCTTGTTGCCCAGTCTAGATGCAATGGTACCATCTGGGCTTACTGCAAGCTCCACCTCCTGGATTCATGCGATTCTCCTTCCTCAGCCTCCTGAGTAGCTGGGATTACAGGTGCCTGCCACCATGCCCAGATAATTGTTTTGTGTTTTTAGTGGAGACAGTGTTTTGCCATGTTGGCGAGGCTGGTCTCAAACTCCTGACCTCAGGTGATCTGCCAGCCTTAGCCTCCCAAAAGTGCTGGGATTACAGATGTGACCACTGTGCCTGGCTGATAGCTGTATTTTTAGCAAGCTCCAAATAATTCTGATGTTTAGATAGATTCTGATCAGGATCCTTCAGTGGCACAGAAGACACCTCCAACTAGCTCCAGGTTGCTGGCAAGGCACAGGGAGCTCTCCTGGAGCCCAGCTGAGGGCAGGACATACAGCTTGGCCTGATAGGAACCGAGAGTTGTCAGGGAGATCCTCTCTTGGACCTTTCTCTCTGCCTTACTCTGCATATTTGCTACTTCATTCTTTCCACAGGCTGTCTTCTTTAAGGTTCTTAATTTTTGCTCCCCCATAACCTGCGTTCACACGAGGCTCTAGGCAGGCTCCAAGCCTCTTACCTGTCTGAGTGGCATAACTCAAATTCCCTGTGCAGAGAATCTGATTGGCTCAGCTCAGGAAGCTATGCACCAGCGGCGGCCTGTGCAGCAGAGCCACACACATTTCAGCAGGGGCTGGGGGCAGCTTAGGAGGACAGTGTGGTGGAGGGGTGCTGGTGGGGCATGGCTAAGATTCCTCCATTCCTCTGGGCTAGCAATCCCTGGAGCTCTGTGACTCTAGGTACTGACTCAGAGGTGGGCTTTCCATTTCTTAGCTCAGAAATGTCTTTTTGACCAGGTGCCTCAGAAAGTTAATTCCACCCGTCTCTGCCCTGGGTCCTGCTGGGCTAAGGATTCCAGCACCACTGAGTAGGCCTTGTCTCCTCTTCTTGCCCACAGCCTGCTGTGGATGTGCCCCGATACGTGGGCATCCAGCTCCTGGTAGAGGGCTCCACCATCAAGAAGCCCATGGTGATGTGTCATCGGCGGATGGGAGTCCGCCCAGCACTCCCCATGCTGACCCAGCGAAGCTCTGGGGAAGGCAAGGACTCGGGGACCCCTACCCACAGGTCAGCTTCTAGGAAGGATGCTGGGGCCAGGAACCTGGAGCACAGTGAGAAGCCAGACTCCACTGCCACCACTTCAGACCCCGGAAAGGGGAAGAAAGGCAAGGCAAAAAGTACCACAGCCCTGGTCTGCCCCAATCTCTGGGAATGCGATCTCCCCAGCACCAGGTTGGGGTGCATTTTCACCATGACCTTTTCTAGTGGGGACAGGCAACCCCACCCCTTGAACAGATTGCCACTGAGTCCAAAACCCCCCCAGACCCTGGGTAAGACCATTCCCCCAAAACACCCAGGTGTCCCAATGTGATTTATTCCTGCTCTGTAGGCTTCTTCCAACCACCTGGATTGGCCTTCCCAAAAAAGAGCCACCAGTAGCAAGTAAAAGCCACTGCTCACAAAGTATTCTTTAAAAATACACAGCAAAATTAGCTGGGTGTGGTGGCATGAGCCTGTGGTCCCAGCTACTTGGGGGGCTAAGGCGGGAGGATCACTTGAGCCTGGGGAGGTCCAGGTTACAGTGAGTTATGACCACACCACTGCACTCCAGTCTGGGAGACATAGCAAGATGCTGTATTCAAACAAACAAACAAAAAGCACTTTGGGAGGCTGAGGCAGGTGGATCACCTGAAGTCAGGAGTTTGAGACCAGCCTGGGCAACATGGTGAAACCCCGTCTCTACTAAATACAAAAATTAGCCAGGTGTGGTGGTAGGCACCTATAATTCCAGCTACTCCGGAGGCTGAGGCATGAGAATTGCTTGAACCTGGGAAAAGGAGGTTGCAGTGACTCAAGATTGCACCATTGCACTCCATTCTGGGGAACAAGAGCGAAACTCCATCTCAAAAAAAAAGAACCACTTGACAAAATGAGTATTGTGTCCTCCAGAGTAGTCACTCTGCAAGGCAGTTATCCTTATTTCAAAGATGCCAGGACTCAAGCCCATGTTGCTCTCTCCAGCGCCCATGCTTTCCCACTGTAGTATTCTGCCTTTGCGTCCAAGCAGAGTCACCTCTGGGGAAAAGAACTAACATGTGTCCAGCACTTAACAGTTTGCCCCGTGTTGCTACCTACCCAGCTCCTTTAGGCCTCACACCAACCTAGCAAGGTAGGTGCTATTATCCCCATTTTCCAGCCGAGGTATCAGGAAGTTGGAAGTTGCCCAAGGTTGCACAGCTCAGAAGGGGCAGAGCTGGGATGCAGACCCAGGTCTGTTGGACTCCGCCCTGTGTTCTTCTCACTGCCTCTGGAGGAGGAACTGGGAGGGCTCCATCTGCCCTGACCCCACCCCCTCCACATTCCCCTGTCCTCCACACACACCGTTTAGGGCAGCTGGGCCACCTTGGGGCCTCCCCAGCCCCTCACAGTTTCTCTTGCTCCCACAGCCCCTCACCACCTCCCCAGCCTGCACACCAAGGCCCAGCTGCCTTCTCCCCAAGTACTCCGACACCAGGTCCTCAGACGACAGCACAGCAAGCTGGTGGGCACTAAGGCCCTGTCAATCACAGGCAAGGCCTTGAGGACTCTACCCACGGCCAAGGTCTTCATTTCCCTCACACCTAACCTTGATTTCAAGGTGGCACCCAGCATCCTGAATCTAAGAAAGGTGGGCCTCGAACTATGACTCACACCCAGTGGGCAGTGCTGAGCACGGGGACAGGGCTGGAGGGCACAGGCAGAGTACAGCTCCCAGGCTGGCTGGCACCCCAAGGGAAGAGCTTGTCTCCCTCAGAAGCTTCTTCCTCAACAGACTCTTGATCATCTCCCTCCTCTCCCCTCCTTTCACATCGAGGCTCCTGCTCCCCTGTGCCTCCGAGGCCACCACCTGGAAGTACGTCATTGCCTCTGTCCTTTGAAGTTGGAACAATTCCTACCACCTATAAGAAAGTCAAGGCCAAAGGCAAATTCAAGGCCAGACTGTGACAAACCCAGAGCTGAGGACTGCCCTGTGAAGAGGCTGAGCCCCCTGAAACCTCTGTCCCTTGTTGGTACATTCCAGAGGCGTGGGAGCCTGGGGGATATGAAGCTAGGGAAGCCCCTGCTTCGATTCCCCACTGCCCTTGTCCTGGATCAAACACGAAATAAAAAGAAACAAGTGGAGTATTTGGGGCTTGGCTGCATTGCTCTTGGAGGGTCAAGAGTGGGTGGGGCAAGGCCCTGTACCCCAGGGTCCACAACAAGAGCCGGAGGCCATCAGCAGCTCTGAGATGCGAGGCCCAGAATTCCCCACCGAGGGACAGATGGGGCTTCCTATTGAGGGACTCCTCCAGCATCTCGGATCTGGGGGTGGGGAACATGAGGTTTCACTTCACAGATGAAGAAACTGAGTCTGAAAGAGGAGGCATGGCTTGCCCAAGATCACATGGCAGTGAGTAGAGGGCAGGGACACACTGCCAGAACTGCTGACCACTGGGAGCCCCGCAACTCTGGAGAATAAGCCTAGCTGGCAAAATGACACCTAGCGGGCATAGGAATGTTAATGCCATGAGATGGGAAAGAGTGGACCTTGCCTAAACCTCAGCCCTTCTGTAGAGGGAGTGGGTCTATCCCTTCCTCAGCAAGGGGTCAAGGTCACCTAAAAAGGAAATATCCACAAGCCACACCCACCTGAAGAAAAGTGTGGCACTGCCTAGTTGTGGGTTGAACTGTGGTCTCCCCAAAAGAGATGTCTACCTGGACCCTGTGAATGTGACCTTACGTAGAAAGAGTCTTTTTCTACATAATGGTGGCTCATGCCTGTTACCCCAACACTTTGAGAGGCCAAGGCAGGAGGACTGCTTAAGCCCATAAGTTTGAGACCACTCTGGGCAACATGGTGAAACCGTTTCTACAGAAAACTAGCTGGGCGTGGTGGCACGCACCTGTAGTCCTGGCTACTCAGGAAGCCGGGATGGGAGGATTATCTGAGCCCGTGAAGATAAAAACTGGTGAGCCATGATCACGCCACTGCACTCTCAACCTGGGAGACAGAGTGAAACCCTGTATCAAAAAAAAAGTCTTTGCAGATGTAAATAAATTTAAGATCTTAGATCAGATCATCCCAACGACCAGTGTGGTGCTTACAATCAATGACAAGTGTCTTTATAAGAAAGGATAAGGGCCAGTGGCTCACTCCTGCAATCTAAGCATTTTGGGAGACTGAAGTAGGTGCAACACCTGAGGTCAGGTTTTGGAGACCAGCCTGGCCAACATGGCAGAACCCTGTCTCTAGTAAAAATACAAATATTAACTGGGCGTGGTGACATGTGCCTGCAATTCCAGCTACTCGGGAGGCTGAGGCAGGAGAACTGCTTGAACCCGGAGGTGGAGGTTGCAATGAGCTGAGATCTCGACACTTCTTCACAGCAGCATGGGTGACAGAATGAGACTCCACCTCAAAAAAAAAAAATTAGCTGGGTGTTGTGGCACATGCCTGGAATCCTAGCAGAACTGCTTGAACCCAGGAGGCAGAGGTTGCAGTGACTGGAGCTACACTCCAGCCTGGGCAATAGAGTCTCTGACACACACTCACTGTCACACACACACACACACACACACACACACACACACACACACGACGCTGAGGTGGGAGAACTGCTTGAGGCCAGGAGTTGGAGGTCAGGGCAACAGAGACTGACACACACACACACACACACACACACGAATAAGGAGGCTTGAGAGTTGCTTGAGACCAAGAGTTGGAGACTAGTCTGCCTGGGCAACATACCGAGACCCTGCTTTAAAAAATAAAAGAGTAAGAAGGCTGGGCACAGTGGCTCATGCCTGTAATCCCAGCATGTTGGTGGGGGGTAGGGGGGAGTGGCAAGGCAGGTGGATTGCTTGAGGCCAGGAGTTCAAGACCAGCCTAGTCAACATAGCAAGACCCCATCTCAAACTTTTTTTTTTTTTAAAACAGGGTTTCAGTCTGTCACCCAGGCTGGTGTGCAGTGGCAAGATCTTGGCTCATTCAACATCTGCCTCCTAAGCTCAGATGATCCTCCCACCTCAGCCTCCCAAGCAGCTGGGACTACAGGCATGTGTCACCATACCTGGCTAATTTTTGTGCATATTTTGTAGAGACAGGGTTTTGCCATTTTACCCAGGCTAATCTTGGAATCCTGGGTTCAAGTGACCTGCCCACCTCAGCTTCCCAAAGCGCTGGTATTACATGGGGGCATGAGCCACTGAGCCTGGCCCCCATCTCTACACATTTTTTTTTTTTTGAGATGGAGTTTCGCTCTTGTCTCTTGTTACCCAGGCTGGAGTGCAATGGCGTGACCTTGGCTCACCGCAACCTCCACCTCCTGGGTTCAAGCAATTCTCCTGCCTCAGCCTCCCTAGTAGCTGGGACTACAGGTGTGCACCACCATGCCCAGCTAATTTTTGTATTTTTAGTAGAGACAGGGTTTCACCATGTTGACCAGGATGGTCTCGAACTCCCAACCTCAGGTGATCCGCCTACCTCGGCCTCCCAAAGTGCTGGGATTACAGGCATGAGCCACCACGCCCGGCCCATTTTTTTTTTTTTTTTTTTTTTTTGAGATGGAGTTTTGACTCTTGTCGTCCAGCCTGGAGTGCAATGGTGCAATCTTGGCTCACCACAACCTCCACTTTCCAGGTTCAAATGATTCTCCTGCCTCAGCCTCTTGAGTAGCTGGGATTACAGGCATGGGCCACCACGCATGGCTAAGTTTTGTATTTTTAGTAGAGATGGGGTTTCTCCAGGTTAGTCAGGCTGGTCTCGAACTCCCAACCTCAGGTGATCCGCCTGCCTCGGCCTCCCAAAGTGCTGGGATTACAGGCGTCAGCCACCACGCCTAGCCTTTTTTTTTTGAGATGGAGTCTTGCTCTGTTGCCCAGGCTGGAGTGCAATGGCATGATCTTGGCTCACTGCAACCTCCACCTCCTGCGTTCAGGCAATTCTCCTGCCTCAACCTCCTGAGTAGATGGGAATACAGGTGTGTGCCACCATGGCTAATTTTTGTACTTTTAGTAGAGAAGGGGTTTCATCATGTTGGCCAGGCTACTCTCAAACTCCTGACCTTGAGATCCACCTCCTCGTTCTCCCAAAATGCTGGGATTACAGGTGTGAGTCACCATGCCCGACCTACAATTTTTAGAAGGATCAGCTGGGTGTGGTGTGTGCTTGTAGTCCCAGCTACTCAGGTAAGGCAGGAGGACCGCTTGAGCCCAGGAGTTCAAGGCTGTAGTGAGCTATGCTCGCACCACTACACTACAGCCTGGGCAACAGAGTGAGACCCTGTCTCAAAAAAGAAGGTCAGAAGAGCAGACAGACATGAGGAGAAAGCCATGTGAAGATGGAAGCAGGTAGGGCACAGTGGTTTAGGTCTCTAATCCCAGTACTTTGGGAGGCAAAGGTGGGCGGATCTCTTGGGGACAGGAGTTCAAGACCAGCCTGGCCAACATGGTGAAACCCTGTCTCTACTAAAAATACAAAAATTAGCCGGGGCTGGTGGTGTACACCTGTAATCCCAGCTACTCGGGAAGCTGAGGCAGGAGAATCGCTTGAACCTGGGAGGTGGAGGTTGCAGTGAGCCGAGATTTGTTACCACTGCACTTCAGCCTGGGCAACAAGAGCAAGACTCTTGTCTCAAAAAGTAAAATTTAAAAAAGAAAGAAAAATGGAAGCAGAGGTTGGTGTGATGCAGCCACAAGCCAAGGGATACCTGGAGCCATTCTCCATGTTGCCCAAGCTGGTCTCAAACTCCTGGGCTCAAGTGATCTGCCTTCCTTGGCCTTCCAAAGTGCTGGTGTGAGCCACTGCCCCTGGGCAAGATTGTAAGTTTTAGATGTATTTTACCACACACACACACACACACACACACACGCACACCCCTAACATCTCCAGCCACGATCAGGATGGAAACCACCAAATAAAAAGACTACGTAGTCAACTCAGCAGAAAGCAAGGTCCATAATAAACATTTACTTTCTTAGCAAATCCTCAAAACCATAACATGAACTTTTATTATCACAAGTCCAAAGAGATAAGTTACTTGCCCAATGCCACACAGCAAGCAAGTGGCCTGTCCAGGATGTGATCTTGGGTTGGTCTGACTGCAGAGCCCAGGATTAAACCTGACTGCATGTTGAGCACTGACCTCATTCTCCCTGGGCCTGGCCGGAGCTCCCACTCTCGCTACCTAGTGTGTGTGTGTGTGAGGGGTCAGGAACAAAGGGAGGACTATTGAAAGCGGAGCCCAAGGCACTGTAGGGTCCTAGAGAAATAAGGGGGCAGGGGTGCCAGGAGCTCAATGGGGGTGTCCCTGGCCCTGGTGCCTGGGAGGAGGAGCCGATGTAGGTGGAGGTGCAAGGGCAGCTGGGCAGCCTGGGAGGGGGTCAGGTGGAGGCGTCTGAGGAGGGCTTCATCCAGGACCTGGAATGGGAGAGGCATGCTGTGTTCAGCCCCACATGTTCCAAGCAGCTGAGTACCCAGCTCTAAGGGAAATGGGACTAAGGCGAGCGCTTCCTCCATTCCTCCCTGCTCTGCAGCTGTTAATCATTTCCTCTTTGCACATTCACACAGGCACTCACACTGCAGCAGAGACTGGCTAAGGGGTCACCCAATCAGTTTCTTCCTAGGCACAGCTCAACTGTGTTTCCCAGCCCTCTCGCAGGTTGGTGAGACGTGAGTGACCTCTAGACAATGGAACGTACATGGCAGTATGTATGCCATGAATCTGGAAACCAGCATTCTCAGCAAACTGACACAGAACAGAAAACCAAACACCGCATGTTCTCACTCATAAGTGGGTGTTGAACAATGAGAACACATGGACACGGGAACATCACACACTAGGGTCTGTTGGAGGGTGGGGGGCTAGGGGAGCGACAGCAGGGGGCGGAGAAATTGGGGAGCAATAACATTAGGAGACATACCTAATGTAGGTGACGGGGGGATGGAGGCAGCAAACCACCATGGCATGTGTATACCTATGTAACAATCCTGCAAGATCTGCACATGTACCCCAGAATTTAAAGTATGAAAAACAAATCAGCTACTTCAACTCCCTTATTGAACAGATGGACAGAATGAAGCCCAAGAGAGCACGTGTTACTTGCTCAAGGCCACACAGCAAGATGTGGGTACAGAGAGAGCCTTGGGAGCCAAATGGGCTGCCTCTCAATAGTCGCAAGCTACACAGCTAAGGTCTGGAGATGCTGCCCATGCTCACCTCTCCCTCTATCTCCCAGAAAGCAGCAGGCAGGTGGGCTGGAGTACCTGTGTTTTGCGCTGGGTGCTCTCCGATGGCAGCAGAAGTCGCTGGCCCAGGACAGTGCCCACACGGGCAGAGTATGTGTGGTCCCCAAGCACAGGGCAGAGCTGTAGTACCATGTGCACCTGCAGCTGACTGGAGAACACTGAGCAAGAGGAGAGCCAGGAGAGACGGTGGGCAGCTGCTCCTTCTGTCCGACCAGTATCACCCCTCCCCCTGTCCTTTGGAAATACCACCCCCTTTCTCAGACCATATGGTTTCAGTGAGGTTGGTACTATGGCTCCTGCATCCCGAAAGGGACACCCAACAGGTCAGGACGATCACAGCTGTCAATCTGCCTGGCTGTGGGATCCACTCATGATGAGATGCAACCCTAACTGTTGAAGCCACTGGGCATAAGCCCTGCTCTTTGCTGCTGAGGTGCTAGCCTGGAGCTGCTGCCTCCAGCTGGGCCTAGGCACATACACCTCTGGGGGCCATTAAATGCTCCCCAGGCTGCTGTTGATATCACCACTATCTCCCCAGCCCCTTGCCTCCCTGAGCCTAATGCACCTTTTTTTTTTTTTTTTTGAGATGGAGTTTCACTCTGTTTCCCAGGCCAGGGTATAATGGAAGAATCTTGGCTCACTGCAACCTCCATTTCCTGGGTTCAAGCGATTCTCCGACCTCAGCCTCCCAAGTAGCTAGGACTACAGGTACATACTACCACCCCCAGATAATTTTTGTATTTTTAATAGAGACGGGGTTTCACTATGTTAGCCAGGCTGGTCTTGAACTCCTGACCTCAAGTGATCTGTCTGCCTCAGCCTAACAAATGCTGGCATTACAGCCACTGCACCTGGTTCCAGTGCAGTGGTGTGGTCTCAGCTCACTGCAACATCTACTGCCTGGGTTCAATCGATTCTCCTGCTTCAGCCTCCTGAGGAGCTGGGATTATAGGGGCCTGCCACCACGCCTGGCTAGTTTTTGTAGTTTTTAGTAGAGATGGGGTTTCACTATCTTGACGAGGCTGGTCTTGAACTCCTGACCTTGTGATCCACCAGCTTCAGCCTCCCAAATCAAGTGCAGTTTTAAAGGCTGGCTGGTGTGCCAGACCTACCTGTCAGTGGCTGCAGCTGGACCAGAGCACAGCCAGAGCCTGTAGCCAACACACGAAAGTGGCTGAGAGTCTTCTTGACACCTTCCAGGATGTCCTTTCGGGATGGGGCCTTCACTGGAACTGACTGTGGTGCCAGCCAAGAGGGAACAAGCATTACAGAGGCCTGGCAGCTATACCCAGACCCTCCCTGCTCCCAACAGACTCTGGGCAGGGCCACAGTATAGGCAGTGGTCACTGCCTGTTTTAGGGGACAGGAGAGCCAGCCATCCCAAATCCATACCCCTGATTCCTCTCCATAGGGGTACTATATCTAGAAGCATCCCTCCTCTTCCCTGCCCAGACCTGGACTCACAAGCTTGACCCCATCAATGTGTTCCAGTTTCAGGGCGGTCTGGATCTTCCCCTCAGAAGTAGCTGGGATCCCATTAGTGACAGCACTGAAAAAGGGGTAGGAGGAGATCACATCATGGCTTGCTGGGACCTCCCCACCACCCTAGGAATCTCCCAGCACTGCTCACCAGTAGGTGGCTGTGGGCCTCTGGGCTCTCCGTGCATGAATGAAGAACTTCTGGAGGCGACTAGTCGTCTGGGGACAGCTGGAGAGGAGTACAAGCCCAGAGCTCTCCCTGGAGTAAGGAGACAAATTACACAAGTTAAAGTCCGTTAGACTCACCCACTAAAAAGGAGGCTCTTAGTAAGCAACACTGACCAGCTTCAGGCCAAACACTAACACCAGGACTATCACCTAGACCACCTCCTGAGAAACAAGTAAGGTTTCCCCTTGTTTGATTTGATAACAAAACTATGTAGCTTAATGTGGTTCTCATTTTGCCCCAACCCCCAGGGAGCTCAGAACCAAATATCATAACGAGTGTCCACCATGTGCCAGAACTCTTCCAGAAATTCTACATATATTAGCTCTTAAGTTCCCCACAAAAAAGCTCATGAGTTTGTGGAATTACAGAAATATTTCATCTCAAGTACCATCAGGGTATCATGGATCCACTAGCAATGCCTGCCACAAGTACAGTCACGGAGAAGTGACTGCACATTGAGCATGGGTACTATTTTCTTGATTTTACAATTAAGAGAACTAAGGCTCAGGGAGGGTGTTTTTTTGTTTTTTGAGACAGGGTCTCACTCCAGTTGCTCAGCCTGGAGTACAGTGGTGGGATCTCAGCTCAGTGCAGCCATCATCTTCTAAGCTCAGGTGATTCTCCCACCTCAGCCGCCTGAGTAGCTGGGACTACAGGCATGTGCCACTATGCCCAGCTAGTTTTTTGTTTTTTTAGTAGTTTTTGCATATTGCCCAGGCTAGTCTTGAACTCCTGAACTCAGGCAATCCTCCTACCTCGGCCTCCCAAAGTCTCAATGATTACAGGTGTGAACCACCATGCCTGGCCTCAGAGAAGGTTTTGTTGTTGCTCTTGTTTTTCCAGAGATGGGGTCTATTTTGCCCAGCTGGTCTTGAACTCCTGGGCTCAACTGATCCTTCTGCCTTGGCCTCCTAAAGTGCTGGGATTACAGGCATAAGTCACTGTGCCCAGCTTCAGGGAGGTGTCATACTTGGCCTGGTATCACACCGTTTGCACTTGAGGATTTGAACCCAGAGCCATCAGCTTCCTCCTCTTCACAGCACTTGTATCCACCTCTATGATCTCAAACCTTCCCAAGGAAAATGTCTCAGCTTATCCCCAAGCAGCTGTTTCCCCAACAGACGGATGCCTGTACTCCCAGCTTCCTGTCACCCCCACCACTTACTTCCCAGATGCCTGGACAACCTGGAGCTCCTGCTCCCCAAGTCCCAGGGACTGGCTCAGCTCTGGTAGCACTGAGAGCAATGTCAGCTCTCCTGGTTTTCCTGGGAAAGAAGAAAGAAAAAATAAAGGAGGCCAAACCTTCACTTTTCCCACCCTCAGAAACGAGAAACCCCCTTCCACTGCATTCCCTTCCCACATCCCCTGCCCATACCTGTCACTGGAAGACCCTGTGGCTTGTTCAGTGTCACTAGAGGTCCTGAAACATACACACATGAACATCAGCAAAAGCAATGGCAACGCTTTATGCAGCATTCAGAGTTTCCAGAGCACTTTCTCATGCATCTTCGCACTTGGCCCTATGATGACTCTCAGACGTGTTATCAACCCCACTCAAACTGAATTGCATTCTGTTCCTCTGCCACCTCAGAGCCTTGGCACTTGCTGCTTCCTCTGTCCCCAAATTTCCCAGGTCTGGCTCCCTGTCATCCTGGCTCAAAAGTCACATCATGGAGAAGTCCAAATCTCCAATCTAATGTCTGCCCTCCTCCTACTGTTCCTCATAATCATAAAACCCTGTTTTAGTTTATGAAAAACACTGATAACTAGTAACTTGTTCATTTATTTTCTAACTCCATTTCTCCCCTGAGAGCAGGAACCACATCTATCCTTTTCAGCACTGTATAGCCTGCCTAGAACAGTGCCTGGAACATAGCATATTGGGGAGAAAAGAAATAAATCACTGAACGGAGACTGAGGGTCAGAGAAATTGTCATTTTCCTAAAGCCACACAGCAAGCTAATCACAGAGCCTAGATACGTCTGACTCCAAAGCCTGTGTTTTGTGTATCAATAAACAATTTTTTTTTTAGACGGAGTTTTGCTCTTGTTGCCCAAGCTGGAGTGCAGTGGCATGATCTCGGCTCACTGCAACCTCTGCCATTCAGGTTCAAGTGATTCTTCTGACTCAGCCTCCCAAGTAGCTGCTAGTATAAGCAGACACCCAGCTAATTTTTTGTATTTTTAGCAGAGACAGGGCTTCACCATGTTGACCAGGCTGGTCTTGAACTCGTGACCTCAGGTGATCCACCCGCGTCGGCCTCCCAAAGTGCTGGGATTACAGGCATGAGCCACCGTGGCCAATAAATAATCTAGTATACCAACTCCCATTACTGAGCGCCTGCTAGGTGCAAGGCTCCCTAGTAATTTGCATCCTCTCCCTGCTCTTTTTTTTTTTTTTTTTTTTTTTGAGACGGAGTTTCGCTCTTGTTACCCAGGCTGGAGTGCAATGGCGCGATCTCGGCTCACCGCAACCTCCGCCTCCTGGGTTCAGGCAATTCTCCTGCCTCAGCCTCCTGAGTAGCTGGGATTACAGGCACGCGCCACCGTGCCCAGCTAATTTTTTGTGTTTTTAGTAGAGACGGGGTTTCACCATGTTGACCAGGATGGTCTCGATCTCTCGACCTCGTGATCCACCCGCCTCGGCCTCCCAAAGTGCTGGGATTACAAGCTTGAGTCACCGCGCCCGGCTCTTAACCGCACTTCGTCATGGCAATTGGGTTAGGAGCGGGGAGAGGGTGCAAATTAGGTGGCTCGTCCCAGCTCATGCTGCTAGCGGGAGGCAGAAGCAGGGCTGATCCTGTGGCTTCCTTGGAGAGCTCGACCGCACCCATGGGAGTCCCTCTCACCCCTCACCTTTCCGGTCCACCACGGCTGCCCGCAGCGCATCAACCAACTCCTCCCGACTGAGGTTCTTTGGCAGCAGCCCCGGGAAGGGCTGGTCCCCGAGGGGCCCCGACCGTTGGCGGGGGCCTCTGGGTTGGTTCTGATTTCTGGAAAAGGCGGGAGAAGCAACGGGAATCTTTCGGTCCCGAGGTACCGCCCATTCCTATGTCCGCACGCCTCTTCCCAAATCCTGCGGCCTCTGACAAATGCCTCAGATGTCTGGGCTGACCTTCTCGAAAATTCAGGTACGACCGGTCCCACTCTATGGCCGAGGGCACTGAGGCTGAGAGAGGCCAAGGGGGCTGTTTTCGGGTAACATCTAACTTATCCAGATACAGCACATGCCCTCCCGCTTCGTCCCGCAAGAGGGAGGGGATCTTAATCACCGGGCTTCGGTGCCAAAGCCTGCGTCCTCCAGCGCTGCGCGGACAGTGAGGCGCTGCCGCCAGACCCAGCCCGAAACACGCCGGCCTTCCATCTCCCGAGCAAGGACAGCACGCATGTGCGTCCGGAGACGCAGCCCCACGCTCCCACCAGCGCGCTGATTGGTCAGCTTGAGTGTCAAACGGAATGGTGACCAGGCGGGACTCAGAGCGAGAGTAGGCGGGGTTTTGCCTCCGCCCAGGGAGGAAATGCAGAAATCAGTCCCTGTGCTTTCGGGGAGATCGCGGGAGCCCATCAATTAGATCTGTTCAGAAAACCTGTCTTCGTACAAAACCTGAAGCTGCCTTTGCAAAAGTAATAATAGAAAATTATGGGCCGGGCGCGGTGGCTCAAGCCTGTAATCCCAGCACTTTGGGAGGCCGAGGCGGGTGGATCACGAGGTCAAGAGATCGAGACCATCCTGGTCAACATGGTGAAACCCCGTCTCTACTAAAAATAAAAAAAAAAAATTAGCTGGGCATGGTGGCGCGTGCCTGTAATCCCAGCTACTCAGGAGGCTGAGGCAGGAGAATTGCCTGAACCCAGGAGGCGGAGGTTGCGGTGAGCCAAGATCGCGCCATTGCACTCCGGCCTGGGTAACAAGAGCGAAACTCTGTCTCAAAAAAAAAAAAAAAGAAAAGAAAAGAAAATTATGATAACGAAAGAAATCTGATCTAACCAACCCGCAGCTTGTCTTTAACCTCCAAACCGTCCTTGGTCACTCCTGGGCTTGGTTCAAGCCAACTTTGGGAGAAATGGTAGTTCGTAGTCTAAATGATAATAGCCCTTCCCCCAAAACTAAACCGGCTTTATAGAGTTAATGAAAGGCCACCAGATTAGGAGGAGGAGAGGGGCCTGAATTCTGCTAAGGGGTACATGTAACTGATTACCAGAGGTTATTCCTGAGGCCACAGTGTTTGCAGCTTCCCCAGTTCACGATTGCCAACCTAAGATTGGCCTTTGGAGATGTCTTTTCAGGCTTTTGCATTTCTGATGGCCAGATCACCCCACCTGGACCCTCAACTCTTGAGTGTACTAGTCCTGTGGCCCCCACCCAGAAGCAGACTCAGTGCGCGAGGACCATTTCCCACACCCCTGTGGCTGCATCCCGACCAGTCAGCAGCACCCACTTCCCTAGCCCCTGCCCGCCACACTATCCTTGAGAAACCCTAGCCTGGGAATTTTCGAGGAAACCGATTTGAGTAATAACTCCGTCTCCCAGTGGCACAGTGGCATGGCTAGGCTCGTGTCAATTAAATTGTTTATTTACCGCAATGCCATGGTCTTGGTGTGTTGGTTTTGTGCAGTGGGCAGGAAGAACCCATTGGGTGATTATAAATTAGGCTATGGAGCTGCTTACGTGAATTCACTTTCACTTCAGGTGAAAGTCCTAAGAGCTGCATTCAGCTAGAATCCCAGGAGAGCTGATGCTTTAGTTTTAATCTGAAGGCCAGCAGGCTCCCAACCCCCCAGAAGTGCTGATGTTTCAGCTCGAGTCTGAAGGCAGGGGACACTGACATCCCCACTCGATGACTGGGAGGCCCAGAGTGGGAATTCTGTCTTGCTCATGCTTTGCTTCTGTTCAGGCCATCACCTGATTGGATGAGGCCCACCCACCTTAGGGAGCATCTGCTTTACCCAGGCCACAGATTCAAATGCTAATCTTATCCAAAAACACCCTCAGAGAAATGGCCAGATTAATGTTTGACCAAATATCTGATCACTCTGTGGCTCAGTGAAGTTGATACATAGTTAATCATCACACTCCACCAGCACACTTTTATTTTTAATAAAAAAAACAGTTCTCGGATGTCTCAGTGCTCTCCAGAAATGAGCTGTTCCTGCCTGCTTTCACCTCTTCTCTCTCCTCCCGCACTCCCTGTCTCTCTGCCTGGGTTGGTTTGTTGAACCAATGTGTCTGTGAAAAATTCCTTCCATGTAGATGTAATTCTCATTTCCCCAGATCCTAGAAACAGAAACATTCTGTATTTGCACATGACTGGCCAGCTCTTTCATTCCCAGCCTGGCAAAGAGCCAGCCTGAATCTCCAGGGACACCTATAGGATTTTTCTAAGGCCCATCCTGGAAAGCTGTGAGGTGTAGGCACAACCTTTAGGAGGTAGGGGGCTTCTGCATGGCCAAGACAGCATAAAGCTTCCTGCTTTTGAGCTTGGAACTCCTCCATCCTCACCTGACCTCCGAGCCTTAAACCTGTGCCCTTTTCCTAAGCCTCAGTTTACCGATCTGTAAGATGAGGACATAACAGTAGTTGTCTAACTTACAACTAACATTAAAGGGAAGGTATTTTTATTTAGAAGGTAGAAGAACACAGAAAAAAACAAACACAAATAATACAATGACTGCCCACATTCCTACCATCAGAATTAGTCATTGTGTAACAATATATATGTATAGGTTTCCTGAATGTTTTTCTTGCTTAAGAAATGAGATAAAAGTAAATTCCCCTTTACTGCCTGCTTCCAGTTTTCACTCTCACCCCAGTCTCCACTTTGAGTTTGGTGTGAACCTTTTCCTAACGTGCTTTTTTGCTTGCTCTCATCATCCAGGCTGGAGTGCAGTGGCACAATCACAGTTCACTGCTGCCTCAACCTCCCAGGCTCAAGCAATCCTCCCACTTCAGTCTCCTGAGAAGCTGGGACTACAGGTGTGAGCCACCACACCTGGCTAATTAATTTTTTTTTTTTTTTAAGATATGGAGTCTTATGATGTTGCCCAGGCTGGTCTCAAACTCCTGGGCTCAAGAAAATAAAAATGAAAAAATAATACTTTAAGAAAATAAAACACCTGGGCTTAAGGGACTCTCCCACCTACCTCTGCCTCCCAAAGTGCTGGGATTACAGGCATGAGCCACTGCAAGTGGACTTGACACTTTCCTTTTCTTCTTCTTTTTTTTCCTTTTGAGACAGAGTCTCACTCTGTTGCCCAGGCTGGAATGCAGAGGCACGATCTCACCTCACTGCAACCTCTGCCTCCTGGGCTCAAGTGACTCTCCTGCCTCAGTCTCCCAAGTAGCTGAGACTACAGGCATGCGTCATCATACCTGCCTAATTTTTTTGTATTTTTAGTAGAGACAGGGTTTCACCATGCTGACCAGGGTGGTATAACTTTGTACCTGTCTTCTCAGCTCTGTTTTAGGAGCCATCATGGGGAAATGACATCCGTGTACCACTCATGAGTCCCATAGCCACTGACAGCTTCTCCGATGAGATCGGGCGCCTTCAGGGTGGCATGGCCGAAACCCCACTGACAGCTTTCCATGGCCGCGGCCCACCTATCCTCCAAATTCTGTCAGCTCTAGCTTGTTTAAATTATTTTATTTTTATATCTTCTATAAATGCAATTAAGTTTTTCATGCTTTGTGTGCTGATTCAGAAAAGTAAAATAAATAAGTAAACCAAATAACTAGCATTTAGGCGAATATCATTACGCAACTTCCCCCCTATGGATCCAAGACCTAAGATTGGACACAATGAATCCATACCAGCCCTGCCTCAAACTGCTTCCTGTGGAAACGGGTGTTTAGATTTATCATCCATTCTATGTTTAAAGTCATGCCTCGTGTTACTTGTTCTCATATTTGGTCTGACTTTCTAGCACAGATCTATTGTGCTAGAATATGTAATTGGCTTACTTACATTTTTGACATAACAAGCGTATGGATTTCCCCTTATTAGTAAGAGTCCTAATTTAGCCTCTTAGTTCATTATGGCAGATTGAACACAAAATCCACTTTCTCTGTGAAATCTCTCTTTGTGGGGCTCCTTGAATTCTTTTTCTAAGAAAGAAAGAGAAAGAAAGGATGATAGAAAGAGGGAGGAGAGACAGAAAGAAAGGAAGAAAGAGAAAAGAAAGAAACCTAGAGCAGCTTCTTTTCTCCCTTCCCTCCTTTCCCTTCCCTTGCCTCCCCTCTCCTCCCTTCCTCTCCTCTCCGCTCCCCTTCCCCTTTCCCTCTCTTTCATTTTCTTTCCTTTCTTTTTTCTTTTTTTTTTTTTTTGAGACAGAGTCTCGCTCTGTCACCAGGTGCCAGGCTGGAGTGCAATGGCGCGATCTTGGCTCATGGCAACCTCCGCCTCCCGGGTTCAATCAATTCTCCTGCCTCAGCCTCCTGAGTAGCTGGGATTACAGACACACGCCACCATGCCCAGCTAATTTTTGTATTTTTAGTAGAGACGGGGTTTCACCATGTTGGCCAGGATGGTCTCGATCTCTTGACCTCGTGATCTGCCCACCTCGGCCTCCCAAAGTGCTGGGATTAGAGGCGTGAGCCACTGCACCCGGCCTCTTTATTTCTTTTCTTTTCTTTCCCTCTCTCTTCTTTCTTTCCCTTCCTTTCCTTTTCTTTTTTATTTCCTTTCCGTTTTCCTTTCCCCTTTCCTTTCTTGTTTTCCCTTTTCCCTTTCCCTTTCTCCGTTCTCCCTTCTGAATTTCCCTTCTTTGCTGTTTCTTTTCCTCTCCTTTCTTTTCTTTCCAGGGTGTCACTCTGTAACCCAGGCTGGAGTGCAGTGCTGCCATCTCAGCTCACTGCAACCTCTGCCTCCCAGGCTGAAGCCGTCGTCCCACCTCAGCCTCCTGAGTAGCTGGGATTACAGGTGTGCACCACCACAGCCTGCAAATTCATATATATACTTTTTTGCAGAGACAGCGTTTCACCATGTTGCCCAGGCTAGTCTAAACCTCCTGAGCTCAAGCAATCCACCAGCCTCGACCTCCCAAAGTGCTGGGATTACAGGCATGAGCCACTACTGTGCCCGGCCAGATCAGGCACTTTCCAGACCTTCCTAAAAGCTGTGTCTTGGATTTTGCTTTCCTCTATTGCTAGGTGAGTCCATACGACTACCCATGATTGACTCTGAAAGTTGTTGATACATGGCAGTGCATTGAGAAAGTTCACACCTCACAGTGAATTTATGAAATGTGAGCATCGATTAAATAACTGGTTTCCTTGGCCCTCCATATATCTTTCTTTCTAAAATTCTTAATAAAGTATGGTTATTTTGTATGCCAATGCATACAGATTTTAACATTTGGATATATGTTGCTTTGAAAACTAGGATATGTTTTCTAATGCTCTTTCATTGAATTTAAC